AAGATATTTGGCAATCTAACGGCTGAGATTTTAAGCTCTTAAAAACTTTTTGTAATCATATTAGTTTTCTTATCATTGTTCCAAATTGTGGTTAATTTCTTCTAGCCACTCTTCTCAGAAATTCTCGAATTCTCATTCGTGGAGCAATGCAACAACAATCTTCTTTAAAATCTCATGCTTCATGGTGGGTGCTACAAGACCGTATAAACAATATATATGAATTCATGAGAATGTGCAGAAGGTCAGTGCGTGATCTCTCTCTCTAGAAATTGGTGCAATCAATTGGTATGAGAATCCTGTCATGGTCGCATACGAAAGTATGTGCTGCAAGGTTTTCTTTCATGGCCCACTTTGTTCTTAAATAGAAGGATAAATATTATAGAATTTATATTTGAAGTTGAAAAAGGAAGGAAAGCACCATCAAATCAGTGCTTAATCACATGGAAGCTGTGCCCATGAAAGTGTCCTGGGATGACGAAATCAAGCAAGCACCCGGTTGCACAAAGAAATTATAAAGCCAAATACATCCTCCAAGGGATCCAAGAGACAAGACGGAAAGAAAGAAGGGGAAATAATCCAACAAGCAAGAAGAAATTAGAGGGGCAACAATCAGGTTGTATACTTTTTGCTTTTATGTTCCGTTCATTTACTACCAATTCAGGAAAATACCAGAAAAAGCTTAAGAATCGCTGCACCAAAAGAGATGATCCAAACGTGCACAAGAGCACAGTGAGAGAGTAGGGTTCTCTTTTTCTTTTGTCAGCAGGCAATTTACTGTGGAAAATGTGGTGAATGGGCCAATATTGTACACTGGCCACTGCTCTTGTGTATTGGGACGGGCATCTCCAACAAGATCTTTATGGAAAATCTAACTTATATTTTCTTTTTCCATTTATACAAGTCAATATAATTATAAATATAGATATTAATTTTCAATTGTTCACTTTTACAATCCCAAAGAATCTTAATTTTAATTTTAACAGTAAAAATACCAAAGGACTTTACTCTCTCTCTCTCTCTCTTGTTTAGAACCAATCAAAACAATAAAAATTAAAGATTTTAATATTTGATAAGGATAATTATAGCAAATAATTTGTGATTTGCATGTTTTGAGGGAAACTACACCTCTTTAAGGAGAGGTGTACCTGGGGTGGGTGGCCTGGTCAAACAATGTATTAGCTTGCAAAATATATAAATTTAAAAGACATGTGTGCTTAAACTGTTTCTCACAAATATTTTTATTCAATGCATATGTATATATTGGCATGCATGTCCAAGTACGAATTCTTAATCCTTATTAGTTTATTGCCATGTTAGCATCTTCTACTTTGTCTTTTAAGTTGGCAAGAATGTGTGGCTAAATTCAACTGAATTAGAAGCAAAGCTGATTAGGCATTAAAGGTACTACCCATCAAATGTTGGCCATGAGACTCCATGTACTGGCTATTATCAACCGCCAATTGCACTAATTTGGCAATGCCATCATTATGTTGGAGCTTCTAATACATTAAACATGCATTTGCAAAGGTGTTAATCTACTCTAGAACAAAAAAGAATTGCAAATGCTACATATATTGCAACAGGGCATTCAATCTCTTTACTAAGAACAAAGGTTTGACATAAAAGAATTAAATCCCATGCCAGCACTAGGTGATGGGATGAAGTTATTAATGAATTGATAAAGATTGTAGTGCTGTATAGCATATTAGATAAGCCTAAGTGCACAATCTTGCTATCAAAAAAGAGATGACATGGCTGCACATGTGGCATGAAGTGTTTATTTATGTGGTATACTATTTTGCATACAAATGTTATAATGCACATAATCATATTGTGATATATAATTGTAGCGAAATGATGTATAACAATCAAACTAGGATTGTGTGGAATTGAAAACCAAAAACAAATATCTGCACATGTGTAAATAAAAAATGCACCCATATGCAATTACATATTTGTTGCCATAGCTTGCTACTCTTTTACTATGATTTTTAATAACCTAATTTTCAATTATTTTCTTAGAGAGATTAAGATTATATTTTTTGATGCTATTATTAAATATTATCATTCACTTATTTATTTTTAGATTTTTCGTTTAAATATTAAATCAAACTGAGACTGTTAACAAATGCCTTTGTTCTTAACCAAAGGAAACCGAGTTCAAGTTTTAAAAGTAACCAGATTTTCCGTATGGATCTTGTCTTTCCTTTAGATGCCACCGCCACGCGTCCGGTCAGAATACACCAATATACAAGAGCAGTGGTCAGTGTACGAACGCGTACAATCTTGGCCCATTCGCCACATTTTCCACGGTAATTGCCCGCACTGAAAAGAAATAGAGAACCCTACCCCTCACTCACCGTGTTCTTGTGCGCGTTTGGAGGCTGTGGCGTCTCTTTTGGTGCGGCGATTCATCTTCTTCGCAGATAAGCTCTTCTTCCTGAATCTGTGTAGCGAGATGGCTCCACTGCGCTAAATCTCTCCAATTATCCGGCGCTCGCCATGTCTGTGTGTCGCTAACCCCGGATCTGCATTGCATTCTATGGCTGTGGCAATCCGCTAGAGGAAGGATTTCCTTATGGCGTCTCTCGGCCGCTAGAGCTCTCTGTGTGTGAAATCTCGCCATGCTGCGCTAGAATTGCTTAACCCTGCCCCCCGATCATGTCTATCACGCGTTAAGTCGGTGCGTTCCATGGCTGGATTTGACATTTCCATTCGTTAAGTCGGCGTGTTCCATGGCTGGATTTCGTTAAGTCACAGCGTCTTCGCTCCATCCATGGCAGCTTGTCGCTAAGTTTTTGAGCTCAATTCCCATGGCTCGTTTCACTCGCTAAAGTCGAGAAGAAAGAACAGAAAAGATGCTTGCCTTTCGTTAAAGTTGATGTTTCTTTCCATGGTGTTTTTCCTGCCTTAAACAATCGAAAGTATGGCGTCTCTCAGTCGCTAATTTCCTCGGGTTTTTTTTACCAGGGCCTGTCGTTAAATTTTTTTGTGCTTGCTTGCTCAGTCATGGCGGCTATGCGCTAAATCGCTCGCGTTTTTTGTGTAACAATGTTGCGTCGCGTTGTTGGTGTATATACTTAGAACTTGGCTTGAGTTGGAGCTATGGCAGTCCGCTAAGTTCGTGACCAGCCATGGATGTAGAAGTAAGTGCGATAGTCTTGTCCTCGGGTAGCTAAACTCGTCGTGGTTTTCTTGCGTTTTCTCCTCGGTGAGTGGTGATCATAGTAGTATGTGATCCGCATCGAAGTTCACCTGGCCAGTATTTTCTCGTTTATGGCGTTTCTTCGTCATCTTCTTCTTAGTATCAAAGATCGCGGTAAAATAGCTGTAAACTTTGATTGTTCTTGTTCCTTAGTGCCCTGGAGTTCACGTTAGTTTCCTTGTTTCTTTTTTCCTCTTCTTTTTTCTGCTGGCCAGGTTTTTTTTCTCTCTTTTTTTTTTCCTGTTCTTTTCTCCATTGAAGATGTAGTCAACCTTTGCAAAAAGACAGCACGAGAAGGTAACGCCTCAATGTTTTTTTCTAAACAAATGGTGGCATTTGTTTACTCTTTCAGGATTTGTGAAAATGTCAATCGCAACGAAAGATAGACAACGCTGGCAGCCCGAGGAAGACGCTATTCTATGCGCTTACGTGACACAGTATGGGGCAGACGACTGGAACCTCATCTCCGAGCGGATGGGTGAACCGCTCGACCGAGATCCCAAGTCGTGCCACGAAAGGTGGAAGAACTATCTCAAACCTGGGATCAAGAAGGGGCCTCTCACAGACGAAGAACAGCAGCTTGTCATCAAGCTCCAGACCAAGTACGGCAACAAATGGAAGCGCATTGCGGCCGAAGTTCCGGGACGAACAGCTAAACGCCTAGGCAAGTGGTGGGAGGTTTACAAGGAACGCTTGATCAAGGACAAGAAGAAGTTACTGAGCACCCATGCAGCGACGGGAAACTGTGACAGCATGGTCATGGAAGCGATGCATCTTCAAGCTCTAGCTCCGGGTTTCTCGAGGCCTTTCCTTTCGAGCACGCCTGATCTCTGCGTCAACGGGGCTCCTGCGTTTTCTACGTCGACACCAGATGCGAATGACATATGCGGGCCGCCGACAGTATGCCAGGATCACTTTGGAAACAATGCGTCTGGAGTTACCACCACCGAGGCTTTGTCCGGGGATGAAACGCTGCTCACTCTGGGACCGTCTACGACCTTCCAGAAGCAGTTCCCAATGGAGGTGGTGGCGACTTCTGGCGTGACTATGCCAAAGTGGATCCCGAAAAAGCTGGAGATCCAGATCGCCTCGACGCTCACTGAATCGTCGCTGTCTCTGTCCTCTTCGCGGACAGCCGACGAGGGGCTCGACTGCCTGGATCCAGCTTCCGAGTCAAGCGACAACAACGAAGGCTCGAATCTGTCAATGTTTGAGCTTTTCAAGGAGCTGAGAGAGCAGCGAGAGAACTGGATTCAGCAGAAGAAGGGGATCAGCTCGAAGCTCAAGGAACTCAAGCAGCAGCTGGAGTGTGAGAAGGCCGAGAAGCAGCGCCAGAAGATCCAGGAGGTGGACGCCAGAGTGAAAGCTCTCAAGGAGGAGAAAAAGCAGTTTTTACAGAAGGTGGAGCAGGACTATAGCGAGCTGGTGTCCAATCTCGAGAGAGACGCGGAGATGAAGGAGAAGAAGCTCACGGAAGCTTGGACGCTCAAGTATGACAAGCTAGTTCACACATACGAACGATATACCCTCTCGGTACGTATTGCCTCCGTTACGTTTTCTTCGCAGCTCACTTTGCTTGATCGAACAGGGGCCAGTCTTTCACGCCGAGTAGTATGATCTCTTACTACGTACTCTCATAGATAAGTTTCTATCTCTTCTTTGTCTTCGTTTGTAGCGTTTTTTCTAAGTTTTATTTGAAGTAGGAGTTAGTTAAAACTTGCGAGCTTCTTAACGATTTTTCCTGTGAAAGTTACAGGGGTCATGGATCCAAAGTTGGTTCCAAGTGATCAAAGCAATGGCGCTCCAGGAATTTGCGCAGCGCATAACTCGCTGCCGGGATTGCAAGGATTTGTCCGGCGGAAGAGAGGTTCACGCTCAGGTGGAGCGCAGCGATCTCGCGAACAATCTCTTGCTCAAGAACCTCCTGGTGGAAATGTACGCAAAGTGTGGGAGCTTGGAGCAAGCATTCGAGGTCTTCTCCAGCATCCAAGCTCGCAATGCCTTCTCGTGGAACATCATGATGTCCGGCTACGCGCAAAATGGAGATCTCCGCAACGCAGAGCGTGTCTTTAGAGAGATTCCTCCTCCAGTGAGAAACCTCGTCTCCTGGAACACTCTCATGGCAGCGTATATCCAAAATGGACGGCTCGCGGACGCCCGGGATCTCTTTGATCAGATGGAGGAGAGGGACGTGGTGACGTGGAACACGATGCTCGGAGCATATGCCCAGGCCGGGTATCTTGACGAGGCTAGAAGAATCTTCGATGGCATGCCGGCGTGGAACGTTGCCACGTGGAACGCGATGATTTGCGGGTGCGTAGAGAACAAGCATCTTGCAGTGGGAGATTCTCTTTTGGAAAAGATGCCGGAGCACAGCTTAGTAGCGTGGAATGCCCTCCTTGCAGCAAATGCCGATGCCGGGCATCTGGAAACCGTGTTAGGCATATTCAAGCGTATGGTTTTTCGCGACGTCGTTTCGTGGACGGCTATGGTCGCGGCACACGGGCATTACGGGAATATCCTGAAAGCGCGATACGTGTTTGAGTGGATGCCGGAGAGGAATATAGTTTCCTGGAACACCATGCTTGCGGCATATGCCCAGAATGGGCATCTGGAAGATGCCAAGCGCGTGTTCTTCGAGATGCCCTATGGTGATTTGATCTCCTGGACGGCGATGCTGTCGGCGTATGCGCAGAACGATCGAATCGGCGAGGCGATGGCGATGTTTGATCGAATGCCACGACACTGCGTCGTGTCGTGCAATGCAGTGATCACTGGGTTGTGCGAGAGCGGTGATCTTGCTGCTGCCAGGGCTCTCTTCGATGCAATGGAACAGCGCAATCTCGTCAGCTGGAACGCGATGATCTCCGGCTACGCGCGGCGCCAGGATCTCGCGAGCGCGAGGGATCTGTTCGAGAGGATGCCGCGGCGGGATCAAATCTCCTGGAACACCATCGTTGCGGGCTATGCCCAGCACGGGGAGCTGGAGGAATCGAGGAGCCTGCTGGATCGAATGCCCGAGCGCGACGCGATGGCGACCACGGCGCTCCTGGCGGCGTATGCCCAGATCGGACTCTTGGAAGAATCGATCGAGCTCTATCAGGGGTTCCCTTCTCCTAGCCGAGACGTGATCCTCTCCACGGCGATGGTGGCCGCGCTGGCGCAAGCCGGGAGGCTCCACGAGGCGCAAGAGCTCTTCGATCGAATGCCACACTGGGATGTGGTGTCGTGGACGTCGCTGATTGCTGGCTACGCCCATTTCGCCCACTTCAATTCCGCGATCGCGCTCTTCGCCGCCATGCCGTGCCGCGATCTCGTCGCCTGGAACGCGCTCATTGCCGGATTGGGGCAGAACAGCCGGATCGAATCGGCGAGAGCTCTCTTCGATCAAATGCCGTGGCGGGATCTCATATCGTGGAACGCGATGATCGCCGTCTACGCGCTAAATGGGCACCATGCTTTGAGCCTGGAGCTCTTCCTGGCGATGGCAATGGAGGGATTGGAACCCAGCGATGTGACCTTCAGCAGCGTCCTCACAGCCTGCGCCCACGCCGGGATGATCGATCGCTGCTCCAGCTGCCTGGAATCGATGCGATCGGACTACAGCATCGAGGAGACCCTGGAACATCGACGAGCCCTAGTCGATATCCTGGGGCGATCTGGGCAGCTCCACAGGGCCCGGGAGATGATCCAGCAGCAATCCGGAGATGGGATTTCATGGACGACGTTGGTGGGATCCTGCAAGATCCATGGAAACCCGGATCTCGCCAAGCACGCCGCCAGGCAAGCGTTTAGCCTCGATGCCAAGAACTCCGCGCCTTACGTGCTTCTCCACAGCATTCAAATTCCCGCCACTTAGGTTGGGTGGATTTTAAATTTCCCTCCAAAAATATGTTTAAATTACCCGCCTTTGAGTCTAGGGCTCGAGCTCTTGGGCGATTTGGTAGGCGACGATTTTCATGCCCTGGGACGATGGAGTGAGCGGCAACGCAGGTACAGATAAATTCGGCGATGGATAGGTCACCGGATTTCCCAGAAATTTGGTGCGTGTCTCAGCGAACAAGCGCCAGATCTCTGCCTGCCGCTGTCGGGTCGATTTCGCGGTCGCCTTTCTTCCTCTTTTTTCTGCCAAAGCGAAGCGGAAGAGGAAGAAAAGCTTCTGGGTTTAAAGGAGGGAGAAGCTTTAGCGACGTGTCGCTATCAAATTTGGACGAAAAGGAGCATAGATTTGTGGGCTGCAAGAGACGAGGAGCTTGGAACTTTAATACCGGTTACTGGAAAGAAAGAATGACGAGAAAAGAGGCTCTGGGATGTTGGCAGCGGCAGTGTCGTACGTTGTGAGCCTTTGCTACTACTTTTGCAAAGGTGGCATTTTTTTCTCCTCGGGGGGCATTGCGAGGTGAATGCGAAGAACGAGAAGGCGAGGAGGAGGAAGAAGAAGATGGTGATTGGAACCATCGGGAAGAAGAACAAGGTGGCTATGCTCTTCGTTGCTCTGTGGCTGGTGTTTGCGTGTAGCATATCGTCAGGTATGTTGTTTTTTTTCCTTTCTCCTGGCCGAGCCTGAGATCGTTCGCTCCTGTTCGTTCTATCAGCGGAGGCAGCCATAGGCGTGAACTATGGAAGCCTGGCTGACAACCTTTCTCCTCCAGGGGAAGTTGTCAAGCTTCTTAAGTCGTCGTCCATTGGGAAACTCAAGCTCTACGACGCAGACTCGGCCATGCTCTCTGCGCTCTCGGACACCGGCGTCGAGGTGGTGATCGGTGTGACCAACGAGGAGATCCCGAGGCTGGGAAGCCCGAGCTTCGCAAACGCCTGGGTGTCCAAGAACGTCGTCCAGCACCTCCCAAAGACGAAGATCAAGTATATCAGCGTCGGCAACGAGGTTCTCACCACGAGCGAGCAGCAGCTAGCGTCCGTGCTCCTCCCGGCAATGCAAAACCTCCACAACGCGCTCGTGGGTTTCAAAGCTGACGACCAGGTGAAAGTCACGTCGCCACAGTCGCTCGGCATCCTCTCGGTCTCGTTTCCTCCATCCAGCGGAATTTTCAAGTCCAAGGTCGTCGACACCGCGCTCAAGTCCGTGCTTCAGTTCCTGTCGCTCACCAAAGCGCCGCTCATGATCAACGCGTATCCTTACTTCGCCTACAGGAACAATCCGTCCGACATCTCGCTTCCATACGCTCTCTTTCTTCCAAACGGAGGCTTTGCGGATCCACGAACAGGCCTCGTCTACACAAACCTCCTCTCGGCACAGCTGGACGCTGTCTACTTCGCCATGGAGAAGCTCGGCTTCCCAAACATGGAGCTCTCGGTGTCCGAGACGGGGTGGCCGTCGGTCGGGGACGTGAGCGAGCCGGGTGTCAGCGTCCAAAACGCCATGAACTACAACAGGAACCTCATATCCTTCGTCAACTCGGGTGTGGGAACTCCGGCCCGGCCTCGCGTCCCGCTCGAGGCCTACATCTTCTCTCTCTTCAACGAGGACCTCAAGCCGGGGCCGACGTCCGAGAGGAACTTCGGCATCTTCCGGCCGGATGGAACGCTATCTTACGACATCGGCTTGATGAAAACCACAGCGGCAGCTCCAAGCACAGGCTCTCCCGCGACAAACTCGAGCTCAAACTCCACCACCACTCCGGCGTCGAGTCCCCCGGCTCCGGCTTCTCCAGCGGCGGATCCCGGCCCCCCGAACAACCCCGGGATTGGACCCGGAGGTCCCGGTCCGGTGTGGTGCGTCGCCAAGCCGAATGCCGATGCGAACTCGCTGCTGGTGGCGCTGAATTACGCTTGCGGCGAGGGTCTTGCGGATTGCACTGCGATCCAGTTTGGAGCGCAGTGCTTCTACCCGAATGATCTTCCATCGCATGCTTCCTACGCGTTCAACAGCTACTTCGTCAAGCACGGGGGGAACAAGTGGAACTGCTACTTTGGGAACACGGCGATGCTCACCCTCTCGGATCCAAGTGAGTTTTCCATCCTCGCTCCTTTTCTTCGTTTTGCTTGAACGAGGCTTTGGTTTCTTGTGTTCTTGCAGGCTATGGTGTGTGTACTTATCCTTCCGTCAAGTAAAAGCCACTAAATGCTTGAATAAGTTAACAGTTGTTCTTCAGTCCTTTGATGGTAAGTAAATAAATAGTGTTATTTTTATTTAAAAAAAGTATAAATTTTAAATCTTTTTGGAGAAGAATGTAAATAATTTTATAAACTCAATTAATGATAAGATATACTAAAATAAATATACTTAAATATATTTAAATATTATATAATTAGTTTGCTTTAGGGTAGTGAATATATTTAGAATATGCTTGAATATTTTAGGATATTCTACCATCTAACAGTTGTTATTCATTTAGATTAATCTTGTATTTATAATTTATAAACATGTTTATAATTTATAAATTTCTTAAAACTCTTTTTAGTATATTCTTTTTTATTCTATCAATAAAGATTAATCTTGTGTTTATAAATTACAAACATGCTTATAATTATAAACTTTATTTGATCAATTAGATTGATAAGTAATAATAAACTACCATTAAGCAAACCAAACATTCCTAACTCATAACAATTTATTATATATTTCCACTAATAATTAATACTAAACAAATCTACTAGAGAAAGCTGTCCCCTTTCCTGTACATGGCCGTACCTGAGAATCTCGCGCCGTAGCTCCTCGTCCACGAAATCGCTGCATGGCGCTGCGGCATCGCCATCAAATTCCTCCTCGTAGCTATCCACGGGTTTGTGGAGACAAAGAAAATTTCGATTATATCAGATGGAAAGTTTGGCACCGCTTTAGGCTGTTATCAGATTATCTTTCGTTGTAGCTGGGTGTGATCTTACCTTGTTATGCTGAAAAAATTGGCTGGAGCAAGTAGTCGATACTAAACACTTCAAGTGAATGTTACCTTGATAATAATGGCTTGGTAGCAGCATCAATCGCATGAACCATTCCTGATCTCTCCTCTCACTTTCGGGTTGTTGTGCAAACTTGGGGCTTATATAGCGGGGAAATGTCGCTCCACTTTGAATGCTTGTCAATGGCACGGATTTGATTGCGGCATCTACAGTTGTTCCGCGGTCAATTATAATAATGTCTATGGTCTATGATCAATGAATTTGGGTCTTTGGTCGGTTAGGATCCAATTACGAGGCTCTGCTGATTTCTCTGTAGTTCCTTCGAGGGCCTCAATGAGATGTCACGAAAGAATTGCGGTTCGCGGTCGCAAAAGAAGTTTCGTCCGGATTAACAAAATCAGACCTCACTTTTGGCAAGTGTATAGTAGCCAGGAATTGTTTGCAACTTCACCTTGATTCTCGAGGTAAAAAACTTGTTATATTAGCTTTCGAAGTGAGAAGCATGGCCTTGGGAATTGCCTTCCAAGGACTAGATAGTTTCTAGTTGTGATGTGCTGGGTTTCCTTCCTTTGTTGCCGCTGGTGTTCTTCCTTCTCTCTCGTTACAATTGATTCTACTTGGTGATCCTAATGAAATGGCTGGAGATGATGCTGGTTTTGACGGCGACTGGAAGGGCCTGGCAGCAGCAGCGCCATGGAGAAACAGAAGAAGCACGGCCAAGATCACAACATGAACCATCCTTGCTCTCTCCATTTTCTGCAGAAAACTTTAAAGTGACTGGAGCTAGAAAACTCGGAGAAGAAAACTTCGAGTGGAGTTTCAAATTCCCTTTGAGTTTATCGATCATATCAAAGCGTGAGGTTTTTATAGATCTGTTTTTCGGCGAGACAAGACCAGGGAAGTTTCGGTTGACTTGAACCTCGCGGTTAGAGCTACAGCAATGTGGAATAGAATATACCTGGACTAGAACTATGCATTTGATTGTATTGAGAATCTATCATGCGTGAAATCCATGGGAAAATTGAAAAGTGAATTTAGTTATATGTAGAGAATATAGTATTTGAGAGTAAAACGTATGCTCCAGCCTTTCCGGCTTCTATTCTAGTTACATGCCCTGCTGCGAGCTTTGCTAGAGACCTGTGATCGCCTCCTTGAGTTCTGTATGATCCCAGTAAACTCGCCCAAGCAATAGAACTCGAAACGTAAGGCATTGTTTCCACAAGCTCTTGCGATCTTCCAACTTCACCAGACCGCGCAAGGAGATCTATCATGGCGTGGTAGTGCTGCAAAGTAGGGAGAGCATCCCAGTCCTTAGAGATGCAGTGGAAAAAGTTCCTGCTAACTCCCAGCAATCCCGAGTGGCTGCACGCGAAGAGAACGCACAGCAGAGTTATGTCGTCGGCTCGGACTCCATCCAGAGTCATGGAGTGGAAGAGCTCGAGAGCGAATTTCCAGCGACCATCTGTCGAGTTTGCGGCGATTATCGAGTTCCAGGACGAGGTACTCCGCTCGGGAAGCTCGTCAAAGAGCTTCTTTGCCCGCTGGAAATGCCCGTTTTGAGCGTAGGCTGCCACCATCGCGTTCCAGGAGATGATGGTCTTCTCGGAGATTTGATCAAAGAGCTCTTTTGCTTGGATCAATCGTCCGTGCTGAGAGAAAGCCGTGACCAGGGCCGTCCACACCACGCAATTCTCTCCAGCTTGCATGAACTGCTGGACAAAGTCGCGAGCGTCGTCGAGTCGATCGTGGCGAGCATAAGTTTCGATCAGAGCCACCAGCGAAGCAGCGCCAGCACGAGGATTCCTATCAAACATCCACTTCGTTTCTTCCAGATTTCCAGCTCTGGAGTAGCCATCCAGTATAGTGTTCCACGACACCCCGTTCCTGAGAGCCATCTCCTCGAAAATCTCCCTCGCCTCTCCGATAGATCCATTGGCGACACATCCGGCGAGCATCGCATTGCACGAACAGAGATTCCTCTCGGGCATCGAGTCGAAGATCGCCCGCGCGGAGCTTAAGTCGCCACGGTTGGCGTGAAGACTGAGCAAACTCGTCCACGAAACAATGTTCTTGCGGGCCATCGAGTGGAAGAACTCGACCGCGAGCTCGTAGAGACCGGCATGAGCATAAGCCGCGAGCATCGCGTTCCAGGAGACGAGTGTGTGGCGTTCCATTTGATCGAAGAGCTGCTTGGCTTGATCTACATGCCCGTGTTGGGCATACCCCGAGATCATTGCATTCCACGACTGGATGTTCCTTTTCGGCATCCCATCGAAGAGATTTCTCGCGCTTTCGAGCGATCCGGCTTGCGTGTAGGCTCCGATCATCGCGTTCCACGACGCAACGTTTTTATGTGGCATTCTGCCGAAGATCTCTCGAGCTGCTAGCAAGTCTCCGTTATGGGCAAATGCTGTCACCAGCGTTGTCCACGAGACAACATCCGCTCGAGGCATTCGATCAAAAAACTCTTTCGCCTCAACAACGTTTCCTTGATCGGAGAATCCAGAGATCATTGCGTTCCAAGCGATTGGAGTCTTTTCTGGCATCCTCTTGAAGAAATCTTTAGCTTGTTCGATTTGCCCGTTCTGGGCAAATGCAGCGACAATAGCAGTCCAAGAGACGCTACTGGGATCTTCAATCGATTCAAAGATCTCGAGCGCTCGATCAACGCGCCCAGCTCGGCTATAAGCAGTGATCATGATCGTTTTATAGACGAGGTTATCTTGTGGCAAATCCGAGAACATCTCTTTCGCTTGCAAAACATGCCCTCTCTGGGCATACGCCGCAAGCATGATACCCCATGATCTCTCATCCCTCTCGGGCATCTCTTCCCAGATCTCCTTCGCCCTGCTCAAATCCCCATCCTCCTCACAGTAGGCCAAAACGAGCGAATTCCACGACGCCACAGTTCTCTCTTTCTCTGGAATGCTGTCGAAGATCTTCTTGGCCTCGTCCACGCAGCCGTTTGATCCGCAAGCGCCGATCATCGCGCTCCAGGAGAAGGAATTGGGGCGGCGAATCCCTGAGAAAACCATCCTCGCGTGATCCAGGCACCCGCATTTGCCATACATCTCCACGAGGAGATTGGCGAGGAGCTTGTCACGGCAGTGACGGCTTCGCCGGATCCGGGCGTGGATGCGCTTGCCTGCGTCGAGATCGTGGCTGGATCCACACTGCCGAACGATCTTGGCGAGGATAGAGACCTCATCGTGGCGATCATCGTGTTCTTGGCCAAGAGGAACACAGGGCTTTTGGGCAAGAACACATACCATGGAACCATCTCTTTCTATTTCCTCTGTTTTTTAGGGTTCTTGGGGTCTCGTCGCCGCGGCCATGAGAGGGCGCCAGCATGCTCCATGGATTCCTCGCCGCCCCAACCGGATCCGCGACCTCGCAGCTAGTTGAGCGCCGGCCGCGGTATCCCGGCGCCAAGAAGAAATCGCCAGGTCAGGTATCGATCGATTCCGCCTCGCAGCACGCGGAATTCGTCCGGCTCGTGAAATCTTGCAGCAGCTCCAAGGATCTCGAGGCCGGGAAGCGCGTCCACGCCCGCATTCGCGCCAGCGAGCACAGCCACAACAAGCACCTCGCCAATCTCCTCATCGGCATGTATGGCAAGTGCCGGAGCCTCGAGGATGCGCGCCGGGTTTTCGACGCCATCCCGGAACCCAATCTCTTCTCCTGGAACATCCTCATCTCCGCGCACGCGCTCAACGGCGACCCCCACGGCGCCAGGAACGTCTTCGATCGGATGCCCGAGAAGGATGCCGTGAGCTGGAACACGATGATCACGGTGTATGCCCAGATCGGGCATCTCCAGGAGGCGCGGGTGATGTTCAAGGCGATGCCGGAGCCCGACACTGTCTCGTGGAACGCGCTTCTCGCGGCGTATGCCCAGAACGGGCATTTGCTCGAGGCGAGGGTCTTCTTCAGGATGATGCCCGAGAAGGATGTGGTGTCCTGGACGACGATGGTCACGGCCTTCGCCGAGAATGGCTTCCTGGACGAGGCAAGGAGATTCTTCGAGCTGATGCCACAGCCGGATGTGGCCGCCTGGAACGCGATGGTGGCGGGCTACGCTCAAGCCGGGTGCTTGATCCAGGCCAGGCTCATGTTTGACGAGATGCCCGCGAAGAACTCCACGTCCTGGAACTCGATGATCAATGGCTACATCCAAAACGGCGAGCTGGAGCAAGCGAGAGTCTTGTTCGACGCGATGTCGGACAAGAACTCCACGTCCTGGAACCTGATGATCTCGGCTTTCGCGCAGAGAGGCCACCTCCAGGAGGCCAGGGACGTTTTCGATCGGATGCCGCACAAGAACTGCATCTCCTGGCACACGATGATCCAGGCCTACGCAGCACACGGCCGGATCGACGAGGCCTCGGCGCTCTTCGACCGGATGCCCGAGAGGATAACTACCTCCTGGAACGTGATCATCGCGGCGAAGGGCCAGTACGGGCTGGTGGACGAGGCGCGGGAGCTCTTCCGCGCGATGCCCAACAGGGACGTGGTTTCGTGGAGCAGCATGATCACGGTGTATGCCCAGAACGGGCATGTCGAGGAGGCCAGGGGGGTGTTCGAGCGGATGCCGAGGAGGAACATCGTCTCCTGGACGTCGCTGCTCTACGCCTACGTCCAGAGCGGTGAGGTGGAGCTCGCAAAATCGGTTTTTGATCGGATGCCCGAGGCCAACTTGGTGTCGAGAACCGCGATGATCACGGCCTATGCTCAAGCCGGGCATATGGAGCAAGCCCGGAGCTTGTTCCAGAGCATGACCCATCACGACGTGGTGTCCTGGAACACGATGTTGGCGGGCTATGGACAGAACGGCGACCTCGCGCAGGCCTGGGACTACTTCGCCCGGATGCCCGAGTGGAATGTGGTGTCCTGGAACGCGATGGTGGCGGCCTACGATCAGAACGGGCACTGGGAGCAGGCAAAGCTCCTCTTTGATTCCATGCCGGAGAGGAATGCCGTGTCGTGGACGCTGCTGCTTTCGACGCTGGCCAAGAGCGGGGACGTCCCAGCGGCGCGGAAGCTCTTCGCGGAGCTCCCCGAGTGGGATACAGTGGCGTGGAACTACATGATCGCGGCGTACGCGCTCCATGGTGGCGAGCAGCAGCAGGAGACGGTGGAGCTGTGGAAGGCGATGAGCTTGGAGGGATTCAAGCCGGACGCGGTGACGACGATCGCCATGCTCTCGGCGTGCATACACAAGGGGCTGGTGGAGAGGGGCCGGGGATTGTTCCTGGCGATGGAGGGCGATCACGGAGTGGCTCCAAAGCAGGCGCACTTCCGGTGCATGGTGAGCGTGCTGGGACGCGCGGGGCAGCTCGGGCGGGCCGAGGAGCTGAGCAAGACGATGCCGTTTGTGGCGGACTCGATCGTCTGGACGGCGCTGCTGGATTCGTGCCGGGCTCAGGGAGACGAGCGGCGAGCCATGCCGGTGGCCGAGAGCTTGGCAAGATCGGAGCCGGGCGATGCCGCTCCATATCTCCTCCTCTCCAGCATCTACAGTGGCTGATCACGGTCGAAAGCTTGGATTTTTGGTTTCGATCGCGGTCGGCCTGGTCTGGAGTGGCAGAAGAAGTTAGCGGTCAAGCTTGAAACTTTGGTCACAGCTTTGGTCGATCGCTATCGGCCTGGTGTGGAGCGGAAGAAGTTAGCGATCAAGCTTGAATTGGTCACAGCTTCGGTCGATCGCTATAGGCCTGGTCTGGAGCGGAAGAAGTTAGCGATCAAGCTTGGAACTTTGGTCGCACTTTTGGTCGATCACGATCAGGCTGGTCTGGAGTGGAAGAAGTTAGCGATCAAGCTTGAAACTTTGGTCACAGTTTTTTGTCGATCGCGATTGGGCTGGTCTGAAGTTAGCGATCAAGCCTGAAACTTTACAGTTTTGGTCGATCGCGATCGGGCTGGTCTGGAGTGGAAGAAGTTTGCGATCGAGCTTGAAACTTTGCTCACGGTTTTGGTGAACCAAACGCACAGAAAAAGAGAACCCGTGTGAGAACCTTCAAATTTTAAAATGAGCGGAATATTCTCGTGGCACATTCGCTGACAGGAATCGACCCCCCGACCTGTGGAAGTTTGAAAGGATGACTGGCTATATAGTAGCTGTGTAGGCGGCGGCCCTTTGTTCGAGGCGGGATAATTGAGTGTCTGTGGGAGAGAGAGAAAATGCGCGATGGTGGATGGATCGTCGCGGTCCACTGGACGCGAGGATTCTTGGAGCTCCGCCAATCGCAGAGATCCACCCCAGCGCACTCCATCGATCCAGGGTTTGATCGGCTGAAGTGACACGCGAAGAGAGAGATTTCTTCCTTGTCTCCCAGAATCTAGCGCTCTAGCGCGTGCTCTTGGCGCCTCGATCGCCGAATCGCGTCGCGTGGGGGCTGGAATCGCGATATTATGCAGCGGCAGGAGCCGAGCTTCGCGGAGAAGCGTGGATTTCCAGGCGCTGGAGCTGGAGGAGAGGTGTTCGTGGCTGATCGTGGCGGCGGCGGCGGGGCAATGGTGGGGAGGAAGAAGCAGCGCGGGCCGTCGCAGCCGCAGGTAGCGCCCGTGTGCCAGGTCGAGGGATGCGGCACCGATTTGCGGGGATCCAAGGGCTACCACCGGCGGCATCGCGTGTGCGAGGTCCACTCCAAGACGCCCAAGAGCGTGGTGGACGGGATCGAGAAGCGGTTCTGCCAGCAGTGTAGCCGGTGAGAGCAAGGTTTTAGGTCGCGTGGCTATGGCAAGAACGCTTGTTCTCATCGTTGCCTATCTCTTCTTCTTCTTCTTCCAGGTTTCATGTCCTCGAGGAGTTTGACGATGGCAAGAGGAGCTGCCGGAAGAGGCTGGCGGGGCACAACGAGCGGCGGAGGAAGCCCACGCAGATCATCGAGTCGGGGCTGGCGATCGTTTCTTCCGGGAAGCTGGGCATCTTTCCAGGTACGAGAGAGAGTGATCGTTTTTTCCATTCCCACTGATTTGGGTGTTTCTCTCAGGGGATTACAAGCCCACTGTCCAGATCCAACACGACCACCACCACCAGCGCCACGTCCTGGATGGATCGTTCCTGAGCAGCTGGCCGGATCAACACCAGCAGCAGCACCACCACCACCAGGACTCCAAGATCCTATCGCCCTCTTCGTCCTCGTCCCAGATCTACCAGGCCCTCCACGGCGCCAGCCTCTACGACATCACCCAGCAGCACCAGCAGCTCATCCAGTTCCTCAAGAGCTCCTCCTCTTGCTCCCCGTCCTCCTCCACCTCTTCCTCCTTCCTCCTCCCTCCCCTCCCCCCTCCTCCACCGCTTTGCAACAGCAACACATCTTCGCAAGGCGGTGCTCTCTCTCTTCTGTCAGCCGGGCAGAGATCATCGAGCGCGGCATCATCTTCATCTCTGCCAGTAGTGGCTTCTTCTTCGTCTCCTGGATTTGGAATCACCGCCACCACCACCACCACCAATGGTAACACCAGCAGCAGCAGCAGCAGCAGCAGCAGCGATCACTACACCAGGCGCGCATCGCCCAGCTTCGATTCGCTGCTCCAGATCCCGCCCCACTTCTTCGTACAGGGGGCGTCCACTTCGCAGGGATTGGACATGCTGGTCCACTCTAGATCGCAACTCTAGATCCAAGGTCCGACCAACAAGAACTTTGGAACCATGGGTGGATCAGTTCAAGCCAGATGGGCATAGATTTATGATGCCATCTTTTCGGCAGCGATTGCCTGTTGCGTTAGTACGCAGCAACGCAAAGCGCTGCATTCCTTGTGATTTATTGGAGGGATTGCAATGTGTACATGCTGTACTTGCTTCATGTGGTTATGGAGTGTGAGTGTACAGATCTAGTGTGGTTTTCTGGAATCTGGGGATGAGAGGACAACAACAATGGAGAGATGGAGATTGGAGAGATAGGAATTTGGAGAGAGAGAGAGAGAGAGAGAGAGTGTGATAGAAGAAACGCGCCCCCCCCCCCCTCTCTCTCTCTCTCTCTATCCCTTGTAAAAAGTTTTACAAATGTGGATTGATTGAGAAAGGAGTGGAGTTAGCCTTTGATTGATCAAGGCGGAATGGGGGAAATTTTTACGTGATTTTGGCTGGAAAAATGATTGGGGGATGGTTTCTCGGAGACATGCTTTTCGCAAAAGAGGACTCGCTGGTGCGTGGAGTGGGGTCGCCGGGGGCAAAATACAGACGCGCCCAACACGAAACAAAAATGCACGAGGCGGAATTGCGCTCCAGCAAAAAGGCTGTGCGGGTCCATCTTGATTCTTGACAAGAAAATCCATTTCAAATTTGCTTTCTAAAACCATTGAAATTAATCGATATTCTCGATATTTTTTTTATGCCCCTTCCCTTTCTGGGTCTGTCATTTTTGTGTGTGTGTGTCTGGGTGAGTGTCAAATTGCTTCCCCCACAGACTTTAAAGAGGCCTACACTGTTTTCTTGCTTTCTGGGCTGGCCTGGACCTTTTTTCCCTGGTTGGTCTGAGCCCCAACAGTGACAGCTCCAAAATCCCAGGCATAATCTCGGGCTTTCTTTTTGCCATGTGTTTGTGCTTGTGATAAAAAAAACTCACCAAACCCTTGAAAACCGAGGTTCCATTTTTTTGTCAAACTTGGCCTAAGCGTTCCATGCTGTAAGAGATTCGGCCAACGTTTGTGGATGGACTGAATGGCCACCTAAAAGAGAAATTTTTGTGAATCGCAATGGGCATCGTCCAGAGTTTACCTTTAGACCAGCGAAAGAGAGCTTGCCTGGAAGGCTTGGACTTCTTTTGTTCGGTAATATATCTCCTTCTTGGATGTTGATGTCTTTGCTATTCCCTGATTATGACAATGGGGCTCCTGGCAAGTTAGTATGCACAAACAAAAATTGGAGTTCTCTTTACTTACTACTCCACTGTCGTCAGACAGACCTCACTTGCGAGAGAAGATCTCGAAAGCTAGCAGGATCAAAAAATTGCTTTGGCGCAGGGTTCTAACAGATGGTGACTGCGGCGGGCCGGAGTATTCCTAGATACCATACATCCATAGCACACGGTAAAAAAATTAGTGCTCAAGAGAAAAGAACGAGATCGACCTGTTCAAGCTTCAGCTTCGCAAGGTTGTAGCCTTCGTCCACTGCACCCTTAATCACCTTGAATGGAGAGAAAGCGTTGGATGAGCTCTTGAAGAGAACAGATTACCTGCTTAACAAAAACGTTGGACGGATCGTCATCTTTCACTGTTGATTTGGATCCCAGTCCAGTTGTTTCGTCATCTTCGGGGTCTGTTGCATTTGATCTCGGTCCAGTTGTTTGATTTTGTCTCGCATTAACCTGTGACAAGACACAAAAAGAGAAAACACGTAAGAGGTTTTTCTTAACACAAGTACTGGTACTTCGGAGATTGTGACATAGACATATCGGATCCAGGCTGCACGAAGTCGAGCTTCCTGTAGCAACAAAGCTCGTCGGACAAGAAAAAGAAAAAGACTATTACCATTTACCTCGCTCATAAGATAGCTCGCCTTTGGATCATCGGTTTGGATCGCAAACACACCCGAGAGCGCGCCATCAGCAAGAATAAGTTGCAGTTGCAATTCCTCCATGGCGATCGAGGACTGGTGTGCTTCAATACAGGCACTCACGAATTCTTCAGCCGCAAGCTGCAAAACAAAAGCCAATGAATTAGTTTCGAGAGAAAAAAACCAAAAAATATAAACTAAAGAAAAAAAAATACCTCGAAAGGCTTACCAAGGCCTTCCAGTCGCATCTGCAAGAAAGATTGTTGGAGCCGGAATGCCAAGCCATGGCTAAGAGTATTGCGATCTTGTATATCTTGCGATGGCAATCGCAGTGTTGTTTCCTTATCACTACCAATTCCGGGACGATTATCCCCCACATCCGAGACGTAAGATTCCACTCCCACGCCAGCATCGTCCCGGATCGCTTGCGCTAGCTGCTGTATCGCCGATGACGCCTTCGCCATGGCCTCGGACAATGCGATCAAAGAGCTGCTCACTTCTCCGAGAGATTCGAGAATGCGCAGCCGCTGGGAATCACCTGGAGGTGGTGGAGACGCTGATGCGTGGACAATCCCGCCACAGCGCCTTCTCCAGCAGCGTGGCGCTGGAATCGCGAGCGCCGAGCCATAGCCCGCTAATGCCATCGCCAAAAAACCCTAAACCTCCAAATAAAATTGCCAACAAGCCCTAATCCATCCAGTCCCTTTTAAATAGTGTGGCTTTTAGGGTGTGGGGAAAAGCAATGGAATCCTTCGAAGACGTTCGTGTCAAAGTTTTGGGCTTCATGGAGAAGGGTCAGCGACGGGCAATGGAAGATACGTGTTCCATGGAGAGTATCGTTGGTAGCGGTGCGTCGCTTATTGGCGTTTACGATGGACATGGTGGCAACTCGGCTGCCATCTATGTCAAAGAGAAGATTGGCAGCCTCTTGGCATCAAACCGAGATTTCCATCGCGGTAACTACGCAGAGAGCTTGCACCAGGTGTTCATGGAGCTAGAGCGCTTGTTAATCAGAAGGGGCACCAGTGGAACAACAGCAACAGTGGCTTTGATCACCGCCACCAAAGTTTTTGTTGCAAGCGTCGGGGATTCATTTGCTATGCTGCTGCAACAGGATGGAACGTGGATCAAACTCACGGAAGATCACAAGCACTCTTACCCAGGGGAGATGGATCGGGTTCGAAGAGCCGGAGGTTCCCTCACGGCTAACAAGTCTATCGTTCAACAGGGCGTACACATATGGCAGCTTGCCATGACAAGATCACTGGGAGATCGATGTTTCAAGTCTAACAAAAAGTTTGGAGCTGAAGAACAAGCTGTGAGCCCAGTTCCAGACATTGTGGAGTTTGAGATACCACAAGGATGTGGGTTTCTTGTGCTTGCTTCTGATGGCGTGGATATGTTTCGTGCACAGTGGAAGATGGAAAAGCTGTTGTTGGAGGATGAGCTGATGAGCAAGAATAAAAAATATCTGCAAAGGGCTGCCAAAGAATGTGGTATGTTAAGTGAGTTTAATAAAGACAACCAAACTTTAGTGGTGATACAATTCAAGGCTGCTGCTTGCTCCCCAGTGGATAAGCTCACCATGAACAAGTATAGCTGGTATACTAACTTCGGGAAATTGGCCATCAAGTAAGTTATAGTTGAGGAAAATACATTTGTACAAAATAAGTCACCGTTCTAATGCTTTTAAAAAAGAGAACAGGAGAACCTCGTCAAAACGGTCATGATCACTGCATATACCCGAGACGATCAATCCAAGAACCCAGTAGCGTCTCTTGAACTGCGATTGACTCAAGATATCCATTTTCCCAGAAAGGGCAAATGGATAAAGTCCGAAGGATGCCAGAAAGGACTTCGGTTATGGTCGTTGGATTTTTTGATGGAGCGGATGTTGTCTCGTCGACAACGCTATTGACAGTTGCCCATAACGGGAACTTGGAAGTAGCCCGAGAGATCTTTGACAAATGCCTCACAAAAACGTTGCGTCGTGATCTCCACCTACGTGCCTACTCGTATCGAAAGCGTTTGATCTGAGGCCTAGCAGGAACGTCCAGTTGTGGAATGTAATGCTCTCGAGATATGCAAGCAGCTCTTCGATCAAATGGAACACCACACGCTCGTCTCGTGGGATGCGATGCTCGCGGCTTACGCCAACACCGGTCTCCACGATCTCACGGTAGATTTTTTTCCAATCGATGCCCCGCAAGAACATCGTTTCATGGACGAGTTTGCTCACTCTCCACGCCAATCGTGGCCGCGAGGGCGATCTTCGACTCGATGCCTGAGATAAATCTCTGTTCGTTCAATGTGATGCTCGCCAGATGCGTCGCCAATGGATCTGTCGGAGAGGTGAGGGAGATTTTCGAGGAGATGGCGCTCAGGAACAAGGTGTTGTGGATCAATCTTCCGTAGGGACGTCCATACCACTGCAAAGTCCGAGAAGACATCGTCTCCTTGAAAGCTATGGTGGCAGCCTACGCTCAAAATGGGCATTTCCAGCAAGCAAAGAAGCTATTTGACAAGCTTCCCGAGCGGAGTCTTGGAACACGATAATTGCCTCAAACTCGGCAGATGGTTGCTGGAAATTCGCTCTCGAGCTCTTCCACTCCATGACTCTGGATGGAGTTCGAGCTGACGACATAACTCTGCTGTGCGTTCTCTTCGCGTGTAGCCACTCGGGATTGCTGGGAGTTAGCAGGAACTAATCCACTTCATCTCCAGCGACTGGGAAACTCTCCCTACTTTGCAGCACTTCTGGACAAGTGACAATGCCTTACGTGTCAAATTCCATTGCTTGGGTGAGTTTACTGAGATCATATAGGATCCAAGGAGGATCATGTGCACGTCTCTAGCAAAGTTATGGAATATGGGAATAAATATATTAATTAGGAATTTTTTTTATATACAAAATAAATGGATTAGATTCAGTCTCAAATGGATAGTTTATATATTATAGTATTATAATTAGCATATTATCTAATACATATATATATAAACCTTACTCTAGAAAATAAAAAATGTGATGATGATAAATTAGGTGGAACATTTGGAGCTTCTGTTGCAATTATAAACTATTACAAGAATTTAAAGCTCCCACATACTAATAGTTATGACTAAGATAAAACCTAAAACTATGGCACAAAATCTTGATAAATTAATTGTAATTTTATGTGCAACTACCAAATGCTTGAAGCAATTTTAAAGCTATTAACTTTGAATTAAAATAAAGGACTTCAAAAGCCATTACAGTCCATAAAACACTATTATAAAAAATGATACATCATGTTTTTAATTATATCCATTGATGATCCTTTAAGACTATCATTAACTTAGATTTATGATTATAAGTAGAACCTACTTTTACATCTTCCCTTCAATCAATATCCAAAATCTATATTAACTTGGATTTGTGACTTTTATCCTTGTCCAGTAGCACACATAGGAAGTCGAACTCACTCTATTCTTCTTCTACATCCCTTCCTCAAAAGAAAATAAAAGTTTTAAAACATTAGGTTCATTCAAATTTGTTGTGCTTATCCTTACGTTATTATTTATATTTAGTTTCACTTCACTATAACATCCCTTTGGCCTTATTACATTGAAGAAAAATGTTTTATTTGGACTCATCATGTTTGTCTTCACTTCACAATCCATGTCATTTGTCCTTACTCCACTACCATATTCACTTATCCTCAGTCTATCATCAGAATCAAACTCATGTTTGTCCCCTCTACCCCCTCTGAAAAAGAAAAATATATTTGAAGCATCAGGACAAAGAAGAAAAAGTGAGGAATAAACATTATGGAAAAGAAAAAGTGGATAAAGAAACATTAAAAAAGAAAATTTCAGTACTTATTAAAGTGAAAATGGGGAAATAAAAATAATGATATGTGCTTAAAGAGGAGACTTCCTGTCATAAAATGCTTAAAGCACCTAAATATAAGCAAAAAATTCACATTGCTCAACCTCCTCAATATATAACTCAACACTTGATATAGGAAAATCAATAAAAATATCCACACTCTCAAGGGAACCCATAAACTTCTTAATAGTAATAATAAATTAGATTTTTTTAATGGTACTTATAACTAAAAATACGTACTCAACTTGAAACTATGGCAAAAGTGATTCAATTCTTGGAATAGGGGAATATTAAACACTAGAAATGATCAAAGACTCCGTTACTAAAACAAAAATAAAATTCTCAACTTCACACATATGCTTAATATTTAAATAATATGAGGAGTACAGAAAACACTCAACTCAACACTATACTAAGAATAAAAATTATAAGAGGTATAAATGATCAATGTTAGAAGAAGCAAATATTGCATATGAGAAAGAAATATTAAAAACTTGAAAAGATGGCTTAGTTAAGGAAATTAAAAAAAGTTAGGAAAAAGTAAAAAGCAAAGAAAAAGAATTAGATTGCATATTGAAAAATTAACAATTACCTTGCAAAATTTTCAACTAATCATAAAGCTATTTTCATTATAATTAAGCTCCTTATCACAATCTAAAATTCACTTTAGCTCATATTCATTATTTTCTTATAAATTTAATTCTCAAACATTCTTCAAGAACCACACTGTATATTATCCATATCTCTTTAATTGTTGTCATGATCACACTCTATATCAGTAGAAGATAGTAGAATATCGAGAACTATAAAATCTATGTAATCATATCTTATAGAAGTTAAAGATGGGTATATTAATATATCATGACCAATAATACTAAAAACTCAATTCAACAAAGTAATTTTAACATATTTAAGTGATATACTCTTTGATTAATGATGGCACAAAAGAAAAGGATGCAATGAAGATAAAAAAAAGAAGAGAAAATCTAAGCACAACAATAGTTAGAAACATTTTAGAGGATTTTGTATATATAGAATTATAAATAATTTCTAATAATATTTTCAATTAACTTAAATTCAATAAACATTGTAAGGTTTGTAAATATATGTACATATTACATGCTTAGGTAATATGCTAATTATAGTACTATAACATTTGAACCATCCATTTAGAACTATCCATTCTTGTATATTAATAGGGGTTAAACCTCAATTAATATACCTATTCCCATATCCCAAACACTCACATTTGTGGAAATTACAATCAAAACTCAACCTAGCATATATAGAAATATTTTACATAAAAACTCAGCATTTGATAGATAGGTGGTTAATGGATTTTGAGTATTACACTATTCACAAATACATTATTAATTAGAGAAATTTATGATAAATTTTATATTATAAAAAAACAAAAAATATAAAAAAAATTTAAGACCTTTTGAGAATGAATTTAAATAACTTAAGAATATAATATTTGTGTAGAATATAATGATACTGAATTTTAAAGGGAAATACTTACTGTCATTTAAATATAGTACAAAACTTTCCAAAAAATTATTTTTTATGAAAAACTTAATCAAATAATAAAAGGTGCAATTACATAATGTAAGGACAATCATGTCAAAGTCTTTGGCTTCATGGAGAGAGTTCAAGGAGAGACAATGAAAAATACATGTTCTATGGAGAGTATCATTGGTAGCAATGTTTTTCTTATTAACACTAACGATGGACACAGTGGTGACTCTGGTTGCCATCTTTGTCAAAGAGAACATTAACTCAGATTTCCAGTGGGGAGCAAAGAGCTTGCAACAGGTGTTCATGGAGTTAGACTACAACTTCCTAATAAGCAAGGACAACTGGAATAATAGCAATGGTGGCTTCGATCACCACCACCAAGGTTGTTGCAAGCATTGGGGATTCCTGTGCTGTGCTGCTGCAAGAGGATGGAACCAAATATCACGCATACTCTTACCCAGGAGAGATGGATCAGGTTTGAAGAGCTGGAGGTTCTCGTTCAACAGGATCATTGGCAGATCGATGTTTCAAGTCGAACGAAGAGTTTGGAGCTGAAGAGCAATCTATTGACAGGTTGACTATAGTGCTAAAATATCTAAAAATGGAACTTAAAAATAAATTAGAAATACTCAAGAAAAGGTAATATTCTTAAAAGAAATAAATAAAGCTATAGAAGGGTTAAAATTCAAAGACTAGGACTTTCAATTATGTTTCCTAGCAACACATAAGGTACACTCTCTTGAGGATCACACTCAACAGCTTGTTTAGCCGCCCTAACTCCGTGCTCCAAATTTCTTGCTGTCTTAGAAGCCCCAAGCAAGCTCGTCCAGTCAACAGCACTGGCTGTAAATGGCATGTTCACAAGAAGATTCTTAGCATCTTCCAAGTATCCCGTCCTACAGAGCAAGTCAACCATGCAACAATAATGCTGCTTTGTCGCCTTCACTCCGAAATCAAAACCCATGGAGACAAAATATGATCTTCCATCGTAAACTCTACCTAAATGGCTGCAAGAGCTCAACACCGATGCAAAACACACCTGATCTGGAAAATCAAACATTTGCATCAGCGAAAAAACATACAAAACTTTCTTGGGACGCCAATTCCTACAATAAGCACCAAGCATGGCAGTCCACGTTACCAGGTCGCGGCATGGGATCCGGCTGAACAGCCTCTCCGCATGTGACACGTGACCACCCTCGGCATATCCGCTCAGGAGACAGTTCCACGAGACAAGGTCCTGAACTGGCATGGCATCGAACATTAACTTGGCATTTTGCAGATGCCCAGCTAAGGAATATGCCGAAAGCACCACAGTCCAGGAAGTTATGTCCAACTGTGGCATTGTGTCAAACAGGAACTTCGCCTCTTCGAGTTGATTGTTCTCAACGCAAGCTGCTAAGGCTGTGTTCCAGGATATGAGATCTTTCTCTGGCATGTTTTGAAAAAGATTCATGGCATCTTTATAATGCCCAGTATGAGCATATGCAGTTAGCATGGAGGTGAGCGTGACGAGATCCCACACGGGCATGCTATCAAAAAGATTCTTCGCGCTGTTAACGTCCTTGCTTTCGGCACACGCGTTGATAATGCAATTCCAAGAGACCAAGTTCGCTTCGGGCATGTTGTCAAACGTTTGCATTGCCTTTTGGAGATTCCCAGACCGAGCATATGCCCAAAGCATCAATGTCCACGAAACGAGGTTCCACTCGGGCATCCTCTCAAAGATTTCAGTAGCCGTGTCAGCTTTTCCCGCATGAGCATATACAGAGAGCATACAAGTCCATGCAACGAGATCTCTGGAGGGCATGCTGTCAAACATTCTCTTAGACTTTTGTAAATGCCCCTTCTCGGCATATGCCCCAAGCATGGACGTCCAGCACACGGAATCTCTTTCCGGCATCTCGTCGAAAATCCTCTCGGCGTCCTCCAGATGCCCTGTTCGGGCATATCCCTCCAGCAAAGCTGTCCAGCAGATAACATCCCAATGTGGCATCATTTCGAACAAAATCTTTGCATCTTCCAGTTTCCCTGCCCGCGAATATGCCGTTAACACCACACTCCACGACACCAGCGTCCTCTTCGGCATCTCCTCAAACAGCATCCTCGCCTTGTAAAGATTCCCGTTTCGGGCATATGCCGAGATCATGTAGTTACACGAGAAAGAATCCTTGGGCTGGATGGTGTCAAAGACATCCTCGGCATCTTTCAGCGCCCCGAGCTTCCCGTACAATTCGACGAGCTTCCGGAGAACATAAGTGTCCGTGCGGCTGCGAGAGGTGCGAATCCGATCGTGCAAGTCCCTTGCCGCGGCCAGGCTCGAGCACGACCTCACAAGCTCGACAGCATCCATGGAAATTCTTCCTGGATCTTTGCACGCTTGCACCACCGATCACATTCGACGTCGAGTTGGGAAAGCAAACACGTGAATGCAAGCATTGAAATTGATCGCGATGCCAAACAAAAACCAAGCCCGTTTTGTAAGACGCGGGGAAGCGTTACTTACACAAACGCTGACCCGGGAACGAAGATCTATGGCCCCCTCTGTGACATCACAGACAAGAGAGTTTTATTTCATTTGCGGGGGTGTATATAAGCGGCAAGCCTCCATCCCAGCAAGCCAAGCCATCATCTTCTCTTATATCTTCATCTTTGTTGCGTCCATCTTTCTCTCGAATCCCATCCATGGCTTTTGCGAAGTCTGTGCTGCTCATGCTCCTGGTGCTCGCCATGGTTGCAACGCTTGCTCGCGCGCAGTGCTCCCTACCCAATCTCCAGGACATTGTGACTTGCATCAACAACGCTATGGGCGATCCAACCAAAATCGCCGAGTGCTGCAGTCGCTTGCCCACTTGCGCTTGCCGCATCCCCTTGGTGAAACGACTCCTCCCTCAGTGCTGCCCTTGAGCTTCAACGTTCAAAGGTTATAATCTTTGGATAAGTTTTTCTTTTTTACGACTTGTTGCTGCTGTCAGGGAAAAGGAGCGCAGCTGCAGTCCAAGTTTACATACTCGTGAATAAGGGACTTGAAATGAAGTGATAATTGTGCTCCTGTTGCTCTCCTAATATCATATCAGAGTTCTTATGATATGTTCTTGTGAGGTTCGTACTTAGCAGCGGTGCATGCAACGCAACAACGTTTGGGTGTTGGATTTGGAACCCAACTGGCGTGATTACTCGACGCACAGCTATGGCAGTTCGCATTTTTAAGTTTCTGCAACTGCATGCTGCTGCTTGGCCTCTGCAAGAATATCTGTTGTGTTCGTTCTAGAAAAATGCTCTTGCAACTAGAAAGATGAGTTTAAAAAAGTTTCCAAAGTAAATGGCAGTTCCTCTGACGGTTGACCGCCGAGGGTCCTTGTCACTCTTTATTTGCTCCACTGTTGTGGGTTACAACACTGGCTGCTGATTCTTGCTTTGACGAGTCTTCTTCGATCCAAAAGACTAGAAAGAAACAGAACAACACTTAATGGAAAATGGAAAAGAAAGAAAAAGGTGGCGAACTTATTTTCGGTTGGACGATCCAAAATTGACATGGAATTTATCATCTCCCACAGAAGTGATATTTGAAGCCATGCCGTGCGCAAATATCGCGTTGTGGACTACAACTGATGGTTGCATTGGAGATGTTGATCATGCATTTTCAATATTCCAGTAGATAAGGGAATGACATGGCTGTAGCATTTGTCACGAATGGATGCACTTGAGTGTTTTGAAAAGAAGAAGGCATTTCAATGCTATGATCCAAATCGTTGTTAATGACTGTGGACTGATTTCAAGTCTGGACACATGTGTTTACCTTATGTATGCTCATCACATGGATCACAAAAGTAGGGAATATTAACCAAGACCAAGAAGTCTATAGCAAAGTTCCTTTGCACAAAAGGGACACGATCCTGCCATGCTATCAGCAAATGCCCAGAAAGGGCATCTGCACCACGAGGAGAAAGCAGGATTTAATTCTGCTCCAGAGAAAAATGTGATGTGCTGATCTGCATCACTGTTTCCAATGGCCAAGTTCATTTGCTCGAGGGTGCCACGTGACTGCCACGATCACCACAGCTGTGAGCTGCAAATTGCTTGGCCTGTTTCAAGACATGATCTTGAAAGGCGTGAGGATCAAAAAGTACATACTGAGATAATTTTTCTCTCTCTTTTCTGGTGTTTAATCTGGCCAAGCAGTGCCTCATTGCAAGTTGTTCTTGATCTGGATCTACTGTGTACTTGCAAAATGCTCTCTTGATTTTGCAGTTGAAGTGCTCATTTCTCTCATTTTCCTGATGGTACCTGCATCTCTGGCTAAACTCCTTAATCTAGAACATCCAAGCATATTTAAGGATATTTTCAATAAAGGTTTATATATCTTAAGGTTTGTTCTCAGCCTGAGTGCTTTGGGTTTACCTTTATATTAAGCCACAGGTACATGAATAGCAAGGACTTTATGCTTAGATCCCCACATTGTCACTTTAACATTCCCAAAGACTTACCTACTTGTATACTTACTTATGTTGCAGCCCTTACACAGGAAGAGATCAAGTGGCACCATATGAAAAGAATAGTTCTTTAGACAAAACTTTAGTGGAATGTATATTTATAAAAAATTATATAGTATAATTATATTCTCTCTAGAAAAAGTTATATAAATTTAAAACAATATTAAAGGTATTATTATTTATCTAAACCAAAATTCTTAATGAAATTTATTCAATTAACCTAAAAACTCTACATGGTCCAAGTTGAAACCAATTCAATAGTTATAAAAATTCCATTATGCTAATAATAATATATAGCATAGTTCAAGATTTGGAGGACCATTAGGAGGGCATTCATAGGTATTACAACTTGTTTTGATCATTTTGTATAAAGCACTTTAACTACTATATATATATATATATATATATATATATATATATATATATATATATATATATATATATATATATATATATATATATATATATATATTTGCCTATTGAATAACATATGAAACTATGGTCCAACTTGTTGCAACACTCAATACAATTTTTTCCATTGAAAACAAATCATTTACTTTATATTTTATAATTGGATAATGATGATGTAAACTCTTGAGTTTAGACTTCCCGATATGTCACCCAACTCAGTATTATTCAAACCCAAAGACACTTAACCCCAAATATCCTAAGACTTTACCCTTTAGGTCGAGCCTAGCCAAAGCAAATTGGATCTGCTAGATGTTAATTAACATATGATGCAATTCCCCTAAACAAACTAATAAAGTTGAACCCGATACTTCTCTGATACCAAATGTAAGTTTCTAAGTTTAAACTTCGCGAGGGGACACCCCCCCCCGTACCATTCAAACCCAAAGACGTTTACCCCTAAAACCTTTTATTTGATAAAAAAGGGGATGCACTTTCGTTTATGGGTCCTTTGCTTTTATATTTGAAACTTTAATAGATCGTTTCTTAAATCATTCTCTTTGGTTGCTTACAAATGAGAATTGTGGTACTATTATTATCCCATTTGTATATGGGAAGTGCTCAATAAACTCTATACCTTTGTAATATGTGTATACTAAAGATATAACAAATAACTATCCTAATTTGAATGTTAAAAGTTCATGATCCTTGTGATCATCCCTTTGAATATCTAAATAAGTTGTTTCATCAAATCATCCATCTATGGATAATAACAACTTATGAAAGTGTGATATGTCCCTAACCAAGATGTCAAAACATAAAATGCCTCGTTCTTGAATGCCCTTGTGAACTTGTTAGTTATTCATTTACCAAGTTGGATTTTATGAGTTTTTTGTGACGTTATTCAGTTTAAATAATATTTTAGTGGCTTTTCAACAAATGATGGATAAACACTTAAGAGTAATACATACTTTAACTACTTCACTTTAAACAAACTTCTTACTATTGATCCAACACTTTGTAAATATGGATGTGTTTTTCCTATACCCCTTCTCAATGGATTATCTATGAAGTCGACAATTACCTTTAGCATATTTCAAAGAATTGTAAATAATATGTAATACTTCCTTGACAAAATGTAATACCTTAATCATTTTGTTGATCATTTTTTTAACTATACTACACCATTATGAGTATTAATGAAGTTATGAATATCATTTTTTATATGGTCTAAAGCTTACAAATGGGCATTTATGGATCTCAAGAGGTATTTATAACTCCTCCAAATTTGGCATATCCTAACTATACTTAATATTTCATTTGTGCATTGATGTTTCTAATATTGATATTAGAGAACTGTTGATGCAAGAAAGTATGAATGTGTTTAGTTAACATCAACCCACTATATATATCAGTTATATATTATAATTAATAGAGGTGAACTACTTTACAATAGAGGAGTGTCTAGCAGGGTTTTAAAAAGTTTAATGTGTACTTGCATGGGTTTTAAACATTGTTAGAAGGCAATCATGTTGTAGTCACTTCATTATTAAAGTGGAAAAACTTAATTGAATGTATTATTTGGTGAGCTTCAAAGCTTTAAATTTCTAACTGTCAGGAATCCCCCAATTCTTGCCACATTCTTGACTCTCGCCGGATTCCTGACCTGCAAACCACATTCCTGACTCTCGAGACACTTCCCTATTCCTGACTCTCAAGACACTTCCCGATTCCTGAGTCTCGAGCCACATTCCTGATGATGATGTGGCGCCTCCTCGACCTCAGCTATATTTAGGCCGTCCTCGATCCAAGAGTGGTGGAGCTTCATCAACCTATAGTATATATAGGTTAGCCTTGTTCCATTTCTCCACAATCTGAATCAACGCCAGTCTAAGGCCTCTTCTTTGTTTCCACTAGCTTTTCTCTTTGTCTTTTTGCATTTTCCAGTCTTGATCTTGTCAGGGGTCTTGACAGTTTGATTCAGATTGTGCTTTTTCGTTTTTTGATTTAGCTCGTTTTGATTGTTTGATTACCTTTGCCTTTTTTTCCCCCTTTTTTCTTTCTTCTTGCCAATGGAGTCTCCAAGCCATCCTGATTTCTTTGCTGAAGTCCTTGCAAAAATCCAGTCTGAGAATACCGAGCTGAAGGCAACCCTTCTTCGCATGCAGCAGGAGCTTGCTTCACTTTCGGCTCAAGGATCCAGCAAAGTTCCTGAACCGAAGGTGAGCTTCCCAGCGAAATTTTCAGGCAAGCGTTCGGAGCTTTGCGGATTCCTGAACCAGATGGAGTTGATCTTCGCACTTCAACATCGGCGGTACCCTACTCCTGAGTCTCAAATCGGCGCGATTGGGACGTTGCTCGAAGGTGCAACTTTGTCATGGTTTTCTCCTCTTTTGGAGAAGAGCATGAAAGGGGTCGTGGTTCCAGAACTGATGGATCTTCAATTGTTCAAAGAGAAGCTCGAAGCATGTTTTGGCGAGACGGATCGAGTTCGGGCTGCTACCACAAAGATGAGACGTCTCTCTCAGGGGTCTCGTCCTGCCTCGATCTATGCTGCAGAGTTCCAACTCCTTGCTTTGGACACTCAATGGGATGAGCGGGCCCTGATTGACCAATTTCGTTTCGGCCTCAACAACGGTGTCAAGGATTTATTGCTCACCATGGAGGATCCCAAGGACCTGTCGGATGCCATCAACAAAGCTGTTCGATGTGACAATCGTCTCTTTGAACGTCGTCAGGAAAGTCGCCGCGCCGCTGTTTTTCCGTCCCAGACTCAGGAATCCCAGCTTGAGTCTTCGGGGCATACTCCTGAACCTACTGCTCCGGTTCCGATGGATATTTCTGGTACTCCCCGACTCATTAGAGGGAAGTTGAGTCCTGCTGAGAAGCAATGTCGAATATCTCATAATCTTTGCCTCTATTGTGCTGATCCTAATCACAAAGCAGCTGTATGTCCCAAGAAGCCTCCTCGACTGCTCGAGTTCACTCTGCCTCAAAGTCCACCTCTATTGCAGTCGGGAAACGACCCTATCCAAACAGAGTAGGAGCTGTTTGTTTGGACTCCCCGAATAAAAATCACTTTTCTTCTTTATCAAGCTCCTCACCACCTTTCATCAAAGCCACCACCAATTCCCGCAACTTCCGCGTCCCATGTCTCCTTTCTTTCACCGGACAATCAGGACTCAAGGCTCTGGCGTTACTGGACTCGGGTGCAACTTCCTGCTTCATGGACACGGACTTTGCTGCCCGACATCACGTTCCTCTTTCTCCTACCATACGGGATTTGAGGGTTGAAGGCATCGGCGGGCATTTTGTGTCTCCATCTTCTGGACTTAGGGAAACGTTGCCCGTTCAAGTACACATCGGGTCCACCGTCACCGATATCACCTTCAACATCATCAACAGCAAGTCCTCCTCTGTGGTGCTCGGTCTTCCTTGGTTCCAACTACATCAGCCTCAAATCAGTTGGAAGGAATTACAGCTCATCTCTCCCACGGCTTCCCCTACTATTCATCGAGTCCGAATCAGGAAAAGTTCCCTAAACTCAAATTGGGGTTTTGTTCCTGACTCTATAAAGTTTTCACCCTCTTCTTTTTCCTCTCTTCCATCTTACACTGGACCGTATCCTCGTCTCATCATTCCATTTAGTCGTACACCTCCTCCTATCTCCACAATCACTATGAAAGAACTCCTTCATGAAGAACCTCTTTTTCTTTTTGCTTTGCATGTTTTTCCTGTCAGTCTTCCTGAGAAGTATCATGATTTTAGGGATGTGTTTGACAAGAAAAAAGCTAGTGTACTGCCTGTTCATCGGCCTTATGATTGTCCCATTGATTTACAGGAAGGAGCGTCACCTCCGTGGGGGCCTATCTATGGGTTATCCCCGTCTGAGCTTAAGGCCCTCAAAGAGTACGTGGATGAGAACCTTGCCTCGGGCTACATTCAGCATTCGCAGTCCCCGGCTGGAGTGCCTGTCTTCTTTGTCAAGAAGAAGGATGGGAGCTTGCGGCTAGTCATCGACTACCGAGGTTTGAACAAGGTGATTGTTCGGAACCGTTATCCGCTGCCCTTGATCTCGGACCTGTTGGAACGTCTCGGCGGTGCCCGCTTCTTCACCAAGATCGACCTCCGTGGAGCATACAACCTGATCCGGATCCGGCCTGGTGATGAATGGAAGACTGCGTTCCGAACCCGCTATGGCCACTTCGAGTACACTGTCATGCCATTTGGCTTGACAAATGATCCAGTAGTTTTCCAACACATGGCGAACGACGTTTTTCGGGAGTTTCTTGATCAGATGGTGATCGTCTACCTCGATGACATCCTCATCTACTCAAAAACTCAGGAGGAGCATGATGAACATGTACGCAAGGTGCTAGCGAAGCTGCGAGAACACGGCCTATACGCGAAGCTTGAGAAATGTTCCTTTGATCAGCAGTCTGTGGAGTTCCTTGGGTACATTGTCACTCCTGAGGGTATCACGATGGATCCTACCAAAGTCAAGACTATTCTCGAATGGGAGCCTCCACAATCAATGTCAGACGTTCAGGTTTTCCTTGGCTTCGCCAACTTCTACCGCAAATTCATTGATCACTACTCTGACATTGTCCTTCCTCTCACACATCTCACTCACAAGGATGTTCCCTTCTCTTGGTCTGTTGCTGCCCAGCAGGCCTTCGACACACTCAAGGCGGCCTTCAGTTCTGCTCCTGTCTTGATCCATGCTGATTCCTCACAACCTTTCTTCATCGAGGCTGATGTCTCCGACTTTGCCATTGGTGCTATGCTGTCTCAACTCGGAGTGGATCACGAACTTCATCCGGTTGCTTTCCATTCTCGGAAATTCCAGCCTGCGGAGATCAATTACAAAATCCACGACAAGGAGCTCCTTGCCATCGTGGATTCCTTTGGAGAGTGGCGCCGTTTCTTGGAGGGGGCGAGCCATCAAACAGCAGTCTGGAAAGATCACAAAAATCTCGAGTACTTTGCCACTTCCCGAGTTTTAAGCCGTCGTCAAGCAAGGTGGGCACAATTCCTAAGTCGGTTTGACTTTGTTATCAAGTACAGACCTGGAAAGTTTCAAGGCCTTTCTGATGCTCTTTCAAGGCGCTCCTATCTCAGTCTCAGGCCTGGTAATCCTGCCTTCGATCAACAGGATCAAGTTATCCTCGGTCCTGATCGGCTTCAAGTTATGGCAATTTCCCTGGCCCCTCAAGACTCCTCCTTGATGGATGCAATCAGAAACGATCTTCAATCAGATGATCTCGCTAGCGACATTTTTCCCCATCTTCAGGCTGGACACCCAGTGACTCCCGACTGCCGGCGATTTGACGAGTTTGAGTTCTTAGATGGTTTATTGTACCGTGGGGAGCAACTTTACGTTCCTGAAGGTGATGCTCGAAGGTTGGTCCTGATGGCGTGCCACGATAGCCCGACTGCTGGTCACTTCGGCATTGCGAAAACCTATGAGCTAGTTGCACGGGACTTTTGGTGGCCTCACATGGATGACTACATCAAAGCTTTTGTTACCTCCTGTGACACTTGTGCCCGGAATAAGGTACCTTGCCACCTTCCTTCAGGTTTGCTTCGTTCCCTTCCGGTCCCTTCAGGTCCTTGGGAATCCATCTCCATGGATTTCTTGAGTGATCTTCCAAGTTCTGGAGGCTTCAACAGCATTTTAGTCGTGGTCGATCGCTTCACAAAGATGGCGCACTTCTTGCCATGTACCAAGGAGTTTTCAGGCGAGGACATGGCAAAACTGGTATTCAGGGAAATTTTCCGACTTCATGGGATTCCTACAGATGTGGTTTCGGATCGGGGGCCTCAGTTCATCTCTCATTTCTAGCAACGGTTTTTGCAGCTGCTTGGAGTGAAGGCCAACCTCTCTTCGGCATATCATCCTCAAACTGATGGGCAGTCCGAGCGAACGATTCAGACGTTGGAACAATTCTTGAGGTGCTTCATAAACTATCATCAGGATAACTGGTTCGATATCCTTCCTCTTGCTGAGTTCTCCTATAACAACTCTGTTCACTCCTCTCTTCGAGTTTCCCCCTTCTTTGCAAACTCTGGCCGAAATCCCCAATTCAATCTCTCACTTCCTTCTCCATCTGAATCCTCTCGTTCAAATCCCCGCTCTGAGGCATTTATCTCCAACCTCCAAGATATCCACAACTCCATCTCCTTCCACCTCCATCGTGCTCAGGAATCTCATAAAACATTTGCCAATGTCCATCGTCAGGATTGTCCCCCTTACAATATCGGGGATAAAGTCTGGCTCCTCAGGCGAAATATCTCCACCACCAGGCCCTGTCCAAAACTTGATTTCAAATGCCTTGGTCCTTTCCCTATCACTGCCATCATTAATCCTGTCACTTATCGCCTTGCACTTCCCTCCTCATATCAAATTCACCCCGTTTTTCACTCCTCTCTCCTTGAGCCTTATATTCCCAGTCCTATTCCAAATCGGGTCATTCCTCCGCCTCCACCAGTGCAGCTCGAGGATGGGTCTGAGTATGAGGTTCAGAACATCCTTGATTCCAAGATTTCACGGTCTAAACTCTACTATCTGGTGGACTGGAAGGGTTACGGACCTGAGGAACGCACTTGGGAACCTGCGGACAACCTGATTCATTCTCCTGACCTTGTTCAGGACTTCCACCGCTGCTATCCTTTTCGTCCCAGTCCTCATTCTTTTTCTCCATCTCCCATCCCTTGCCGCTCATCTCATCCTCCTCTTCGTTCTCGTTCACATCCTCGTTCCACTCGTTCTTGAGGAGGGGGTGCTATCAGGAATCCCCCAATTCTTGCCACATTCTTGACTCTCGCCGGATTCCTGACCTGCAAACCACATTCCTGACTCTCGAGACACTTCCCTATTCCTGACTCTCGAGACACTTCCCGATTCCTGAGTCTCGAGCCACATTCCTGATGATGATGTGGCGCCTCCTCGACCTCAGCTATATTTAGGCCGTCCTCGATCCAAGAGTGGTGGAGCTTCATCAACCTATAGTATATATAGGTTAGCCTTGTTCCATTTCTCCACAATCTAAATCAACGCCAGTCTAAGGCCTCTTTTTTGTTTCCACTAGCTTTTCTCTTTGTCTTTTTGCATTTTCCAATCTTGATCTTGTCAGGGGTCTTGACAATAACTTGAAAATTATTCATCACCCAAAAAGTTCTATAACTGATTTTGATATTTTTTTTCAACCTCGTTTTGCTTCTTCACTCTCTTCTTATGTTCTTAACAAGCCTATTATTCTAGTTATTAGATTTTTTAAATAAGGATTTTGTGCTAATAATAGTACTAAATATTTAATGTCCATAAGGTGTAAAACTAGATTTATTTGTCTTGATGAGGTTTGAAAGACTCAAAAGTTAAGTCATAGATTTGAAAATCTTAGAATTGATTTGAGAATCTTGTATTACTTACTGATTAATATTACTTTGAGTACAACTTTGTTTATGTTATAGAGACTAATCCTGATGATTATTTGCAGCAAGTGGTGCCTTCAATTTTTATTCCATACTTTCTTTATATTTATCATGACTCTCTTATTCTATGAGGGCATATAGAACATCATTGTGTGATTGAGAAGTTATATAAGCCTTTTTTTTTTTACTAAAGATGTGATGTGATATTATCTAATATATACATAGTTGTGTTTAGTGCTAAGCTTGTATACTCCTCTTCATGATGACTAGTTTCAATTGTAATTTTTTGTCTATTTAAATTAGTGGCATTTGATTTAATGAGACTTTTGCCATAGTAAATTGTTAGCAATGAATATGTCATTATTGCTTCTAACTATCTGACTCGTAATGCTCTTATTAATATATTTATAACTATTATTAGATATTGCCTCCTTAATCAAATGGTGTCAAGAGTAAATTTTCTCAAATACTTATATGTCTTCCTAAACTATCTAGAAGATTGGTAGTGTGAGGAAAATAATATATATCTAAGTTAGTCACAAATAAATGATAGTATCAAGCTTCAAATTGCATAGCCTCTAATAGAAACAATGCAATTGTTAGAAAACATTGTTACAATTGTTAACATCTCCAAATATGCACTTAAAAACATCTAAAAAAAACTTTAATCCACATAAATCATTGCACTTAAATCATTATATTATTGTAATACCATCCCTTAAAGATGTTGAAAACTTGTACAAACATCAAGCATCATACTAAGAATGATATGTGTCAATCACTTTAAAGTGATTGAACCAATAGTACATATCATTCTTAATATTTCCACAAAAGAAATTTAGTTTGACACAAAGATTGCCACTAAAAGTAAAAAGAGTTACACCATGACCATCAATTGAGTTTGATTATTTAATTTTAGAGATAAAAAGAAAAAAAAAGAAGATATGAAAAAATTATAGGAACAAAAGAGATTTAAACAATACAAAAGCTAAATTTAAATAAAAAATATAACTTCAAAAACCCTAGTTTATATATAAATGCAAGTTGTCCAAATTAAAACCAATTTTATCAAAATCCCACTCACCACACCATAGCCATACACTTAGACCTCGTTAATTATATTGTAATGAATAATTATGGATTGACATTTGTATTGGCCACTTTTTTGGTAGCCTTTGAGTTTGGATCAATACAAACAATGTCAGAAGAGATCAGGTCAATTGCACCATGCAAATTTATGACAGTCAAATCCAAATATAATTTAGCTTCTCTCACTGTTAATGCTCCTTATACCTTGGGCATGCTATAGATTCTAAAAAGTGGTTATAGGATAACCACTCACAAACTGGATGGTTTGGTCTTGGATTACTTATGGCAAAAGTGCAAATAGATATGACCTTAGTATAATAAACTGGTATATTAATGGTACCTTTAGTTGTTTATAATAAAACTCAAACACAAGGAGTACTTTGGACTAGTGAAAATAGAGCAAAATAAGTGATAATATCTTAAACTATATGTAGAAGAATGCTTTGTTGATGACGTTAAGTGTTGTATTTAAGAGATTACTCTTGTCATTTATAAAATATTGGAGTTGTAAAGGCATGGTTTGAGGGTATCTTGTGGTTGGATCTGGTGGCTGATTAATCAAACCCAAGAAAATGAATCTGATGTACTCATATCTAGTGAAATCATATAATCTAATACATAATTTACACCTTCTAATAAGCCTTTTTTTGGGTGATAAGCATAAGACAAGAAGCTTTTTGAAAAATAAATAAAGCTTTTAGTTTGCCCAAACACTATTAAATATGGTAGCACAAATCCATTTGTAATTTTCGGGCATAGGGAGGGAAATTTATCTTTGCTTCGGTGTTCTGAATATAATTATTACTGCGAACATTGATGTATTTTCTTCTAAAATATGTCCACTCATAAGATTACTGCATTCTATTTTATTTAGAGACTCTTTGATAAGTCAATCCTAATTCTCTTGCTTATATTACAATGAAACTGTTTAAAATATTAGATAAATATTAGGTTATTGGAGGATTTCCTTGCTGTGAGATTCTACTCCACTAGATCAAACCCTTGTTATTGGTGTGCCACTGGCATTCTCGATTCTAAGGTAGAGATTGGTCAATATGCATTCTAGAATTTGCTCAGTGCCCTAAGAGCCCCAATTGAGCACTCTAACACAATGGTGTTATTGAATACACAATCACCTGCTCCCCAAATTATCAGAACAACACAAACTATCCTCCATCCTTTTGCACTTACAATCTTCCCTCTTGTTCTGATCCAAAGCACTATGCTTATCGGGATCAAATCTATCCCACTGCTAAAGTTTACAACATCCTCGCTGATTTCCTCTGGAATGGATCCACTACCAGCATCTATCCCACCAACATCCAGCAACTGGCTTCTATGTGAGATCCTTCTTCCTTTAGCTTACATCATTGAGAAAATAAGGTGGATAGTCTTGCTGGATCTTGTCCTGAAAGAGAGGTCTCTTTTTTCCCGCAAGAAAATCCAAACGTAGCGCTGTAGTTTGGTTTCATTCTTCTTAGGCGAGCAGCTCTTTCCATCTGGCGTAGCCATAGACGAGAAAGAAGATGATGGTGCTCGCGGCGAGAGTCCCTGCGGTTGTCATGAAGAAGGCGCTCTCGTCATTGATCCCATATGGTATGTTCATCCCGAAAACTCCAGCCACTGCCGTTGCTAGGCTGATCACGAAGCCGCCAATGATCAAAACGAGCTGGAGTTGGATCATCTCGTTCCTGTGGTTGTCGAGCTGGATGTTGATATAGTCTTCAGTGTCATCGATATACTCCCGAAGCTGCAGAGAGAGGCATAAGAGAAAGAAGAAAGAAAACTATCCTTGCAACTTACAGTGACGAGCCTGTTGCGAGTTCCATCGATCTGCAAGAAGCACGTCTCGAGCAGCATCTCCAGATCTTCGACGTCGTTGCCATCCGCCAGAGTCCCCAGCGCGACGCTGGTCGCAGTCCGAGTGCTCGGGTGGGGCATGATCAAGCTGCTGGCCTCGTCGTCCAGAGGCAACGCTTCCAGCTGCTGCTGCAAAGCCATCTTGCGCGAGAGATACATGTCGGCCATGTCTTCGTCGTCGTCGAGCAAGTGCTCGACTTCATCACGAACCTGTGAAACGAGCGAGTAAGCTTGTTAGTCGAAGAGAAATCTTTGTCTTTGCGATTGCTTGCCTTTTGCACTCGAGCAGTGATGTGAGTGAGAGTGCTCTTGAGGCTGCGGACGTGCTCGAGGTTACCTGTGCTGACATTTCTAGTGAGCTCGTCCAAAGCAGGATAGGCAATGTGCTCAAGATCCGTCACCTTTGCGTCCAGGTAGCTACACACAAACTCGAGGGCGCTCTCCAAAACCTGGAACTCGAACGGCAGCGCATCGCCAGACTCTTCCTCCACTCTCATCCAGAGAGGCCCTCGCGGATCGATCATCGTCCCTGCTGCTGCTCCTGCTGCTACCGCGTCGCCGGAAGATCCAGCTCCCTGATCCAGAGCCAGCTGCTGCGTGAGTTGGTCCACGAATGGAGCCACCAGAGAATTCCGGGGATCCAGAATGAAAACCTCCTCGGCTGTGATCACCGCCTTGATGAACTCCAGGTTGATCACCATGGCCTTCTCGCGAGCTGGAAAAGCGATGCATCAAAACAAAAGAGAGAAGTACTCCAGTGATGCTCACCTAGAATGTTGGAAGAATGCGAGAAAACCGGGCCGAGGATCCGAAGATCACGAGCTGGGATGTCCGCGCGGCTCATGATCGTCTGGCGATCGCATTCCAGGAGCTCGCATACGCCACGGGAGTCGAATCTCATCCAGGTTCTAGCGCCGGGCTTCTTCTTCTTCCCTTGTGTGGCCTCGTTGGGCAGCGAGAGAGGAGGAGGAGGAGGAGGAGGAGGGGGAGGAGGAAATGGATGGGGAGGAGGAGCCGCATACCTTCTGGGCTTGGGGGCACTATTTTGCCCTAGCGAGAAATAATCCATCGATGGAATAAGGGTAAAAGCATTCGTCCGGAAGTAGGTTTTAAAACTGTAACGTTGGTTAATAATAATGTTATTCTTACTTATTAATTTAACTGATTAGATATAATTTAGAATTATAAGCATATTTATAATTTATAAACACTAAGATTAATCTTATTAGAATAAAAAAGAATATGCTAGAAAGGGTTTAAGAAAATTTATAAATTATAAATACAAAATTAATCTAAATAAAATAATAACAGTAAAATGGTAGAATATCCTAAAATATTCAACTATATTTTAGGTATATTCATTACCATCCCACAGGTTTGCTTAAACAAACCAAAAAAGTGTCGAAAAATGGACGACGACCTGAGTGCGAGGAATTTCTACTTGCTTCCGACGACTAAGATCATACAGCCACGGGTATTCCTTTCTTCATCATGCTGTCGAGAACGTCGTTGAGCGACTGGCAAACGCTCACGATCTGCAATAACAGTTCCTTGCGCTTATGCGTTTTGTAAATGGAAAGAGGCTTACCTGTTGATCCCATTGCTGCAGCTCCTCAATGTCGTTGTCGAAATGGATCACAGCCTCGACCTTTAGAATCGGACAAGAGTTAGAAACGCAAGAAGGAGTTTGCTTGACATGAACCTGGTCAATGGATCCGCGCATACGATCTTCCGAGATCATTCTCGCCGCAATCTTTTCAGCCTGCACGAATACCTCAAACACTAGGAGCGACAAAAAAAGAACTGGTTACCTTGTCAGGGGCAATGCCTAGCAATGCTCCCAGCTCCTCGAAACTGGAAACACTTTTCAATCAGTGCCCTGAGTGAAAACAGTATATTTACCTGATGTTTGTGTACAGCTTGCTTGCGCTTAAAAGATTATGTTCAATCATAGCTCGATCCAAAACCGTCGAACTGTCTGGAAGCAAAGCTTTCTGCAGCATAAAAAGGAAAACACTCGCACTCGTCTTTTTTTTAACATGAACACCTACCTGATGTGGCTTCAGCTCTTCTGCGAACGCGTCGACTTCGGGTTTTCTAAGAATTCTTTCCAGGTAAACCTGACAAAAATATGACGTTTCCATCAGAACCACGACAAGACAATAGTATTACGACACCTTTTGCAAAATCGGATAGATCTTTAGCTTCGAACACCTTTCGTCCTAATAAACACAAATGGATTTACAGTTTTGAGAAGAAAAAAGAAAGCGGCTCGCATACCTTGTAAAGGGTTGCGAGAACTCTCGACCTCTGAGGACCTGCAGCAGCCAAGATAGTACACGTCACCGCTGCTGTGAGAGCTTGCTGGAGTTCCTCTTCATCGACAATGCTGTCCAAAATATCAAATACACACAATGTAGAATATACAAATCAAAAACTTACCGGCCCCCAATTTCTCTCTTTTCAAGTTGCGACATTTCGTAGTATCTTAGTGCGGCCTCCAGGAACTTCCTTTTTGAATCAAGAATACGCGCATAGCACACCTAAATATTTATAAAGGACGGAGGTCAGCTCATATACCAAGAAAACAGCGAAGGAAATAACCTTGTACTGTAAAATAACAGCTTCATCCTTGCAGCCATTCACCATGAAAGAGGCTTTCTTTATGTACACCTCGGCATTTGTCGCATCATCATCCTGGACAAACGGATGAAAACACAGTGCAAACTATAGTTCTCGTACCTCCAAGTACAGCAGAGCAATTTTCACGCATTTTGTTAGCTTGTAGCTTTCGTCCCCGGCACTGAAAGTCAATCACCTTAAACCCGATCTCCTCAAGAAAAGAAGTACAAGATCAAACAAGATACAAACCGGATTCCAGTGTCCAAGTCAATGCCGCTAAGCATTTGTGCCGATTTCGTCCATTCTTCTTCGATCTCATAGAGCTCCGCTAGCCTTTCTCGAATGAGGCACACCTAGATACAGCACAGAAAAACTTGATACATAGGAAAGAAAAACTTTCAAGGCCAAAGAAGAAAGACTCCAACCTGTTCTTCGAAAGAAACAACGCGGGGTTGAATCTGCGCGAGAGCGTACTGCGCAATTTGCTTGTGCGCCTCGGCTTCCAGCTTCCCAAGATCCTGCGCGAAAGTTTGCAGCACCTGGCGCGAGATTACCAGCGGAACCTCGTCGGAGACCACTGCGGCAGCAAATGCGAGCTCAATACCTTCCCGAATTCTTCCACACAACAAAACTCACTGTGATTGACGAAGGCCATGGCGTGCTCCACATGATTCGTCGCGATTATCGTGGAGAGAATCGCCTTGTACTGATCGACCTTCTGCTTCTGATCGCCAATCCCCGCGGCGACCTGGAGCGCGCTCCTGATATCGCCCATCGCCCAAAGGCCAAAAACCCTAGTGCTTAGAAAACGTTCCCGCGTTTCGAAACCTCGACCTCTAGTATTTTTGCCTCTTCGAAATTTTCGTGCCAAGGAATATGCCGTTTATGGCGCCTAAACCTTGTCCTTTTCCCAGGTTCTAGGGTTTTGCGGTGAGCCGGAGCCGTGAGCGTCGCGATCTCCGTCGATCGTGAGCCAGGACAAGGTTTAGCTGCTAGGCTCCAGCTGGTTGATCTTCTAGTCCTTGCGAGGTTTTCTTTCATTCCAGGCTTGGCAGGCTTGCGATCGAGCGAAGTCGCCAAGGAGAAATGGAAGGCGCTGGAGCCGGGAATGGCCTGGCCATCGACACCCACCATCTTGTAGGACGTTTTGGTGCCTTTTCTTGCAGAATCTAACGCTGGATTTCCAGAAAGGGGCTCCAGTTGAGGAGGTTTTCGAGCAGCTGCGGTGCACCGAGAATGGCCTCACGGAGGAGGAGGCCGAAGAGCGGCTCAAGATTTTCGGGTATAACAAGCTAGAGGAGACGAAGGTATGATCTTCATGCTCTTTTTCTACAATAAACAAAGTAGCTTGACATGATATAGTGTATGGTTTTGGAATCCAGGAAAACAAGTTTCTCAAGTTCCTCGGCTTTATGTGGAATCCTTTGTCATGGGTGATGGAAGCTGCAGCGATCATAGCTATTGTCATGCTCAATGACGGCAGTGTAAGAAGTTTTCTCTTTGTTTCATTGTTTCATTCTGTTTCATTCGTTTGTGCGCAGGGAGATCCCCCCGATTATCCAGACTTCATTGGGATAATTATTCTTCTTTTGGTGAACTCCACGATAAGTTTCTTTGAAGAAAACAATGCCGGAAACGCTGCGGCTGCTTTGATGGCACGGTTGGCTCCTCAGTGCAAGGTCTGCTAGCGACTTGTTTTGTCCCAAGGATTGTCACTCGTGCATGCGCAGGCTCTAAGGGACGGGAAATGGAAAGAAATGGAAGCGAAGTTCTTAACTCCTGGTGACATCATAGCCATAAAGCTTGGAGACATCATCCCTGCAGATGCTCGCCTGCTCGAAGGAGATTCCTTGAAGATTGATCAGGTTTGGTCGCTTACGTGAAAGTTGCGATTATCCCCTGACGATTTGTTTCACTGTGATTAGTCTGCTTTAACTGGCGAGTCTTTACCTGTGACGAAAAGGCCTGGAGATGAAGTACTTTCAGGATCAACTTGCAAAGTAGGAGAGATGAACGCTGTTGTCATCTCCACCGGCGTTCACAGCTTCCTGGGTAAAGCGGCTCACCTTGTTGACAGCACAAACAATGTGGGACACTTTCAAAAGGTAGGACTTGATTGATTTCGACAGCATAAACTATAAGCTATAATGTTTTGAAAACGCAGGTCCTGACGTCCATTGGAAACTTCTGCATTTGCTCTATTGCTGTGGGAATATTTGTGGAGGGAATCGTCATGTGGGCGGCTCATCACCAGACTTATCGTCAGGGCATGGAGAATTTACTGGTTCTTCTCATTGGTGGAATACCAATTGCTATGCCGACGGTTCTTTCGGTAACCATGGCGATTGGTTCGCACAGATTATCCCAGCAGGCAAGACTCTTTTGGAATGGCTTTTATCATTCAGTTTCGCATGTTTTCAGGGAGCTATAACAAAACGCATGACAGCTATAGAGGAAATGGCTGGTATGGACGTCCTTTGCAGTGATAAAACGGGCACTCTTACTTTGAACAAGCTTACTGTCGACAAGAGTCTTGTTGAGGTAGGCTACAGTATGTTTAGACAGAAGATGTCATCTAAAACATTTTATATCAGGTGTTTCCGAAGGACATGGACCAAGACACGGTTGTGAAGCTTGCAGCAAGAGCATCCAGATTAGAATGTCAAGATGCTATTGATGCTGCAATTGTAGGCATGCTCAGTGATCCGTCGGAGGTAATTGCAGAGATTAAGCTCAGAACAAAACTTTTTTTGTTAATATTTTTCATGCAGGCCCGAAAAGACATCGAAGAGATCCACTTCTTGCCATTCAATCCCGTCGAAAAGCGAACGGCAATTACCTACATAGAGAACGGAAAATGGTATCGAGCAAGCAAAGGAGCTCCCGAGCAGGTAAACTCTTCCATTTATAATATGTGATCACTTTAACCAGTTTGTTGCCAGATCTTAGCTCTCGTACACAACAAACAAGCATTGTCCCAGAGATTCCATACCGTGGTTGAGCAACTTGCTCAGCGCGGTCTGCGATCACTTGCAGTGGCTATCCAGGTACGTCAAACAAAAAGGCGTCAGATTTAAGTCATCCAGCGGCATCGCAGGAAGTCCCTGAGGAATCCAAGGATTCTCCAGGAGGCCCATGGACACTTTGCGGCGTGCTACCACTTTTTGATCCACCTCGTCATGACAGTGCTGACACCATCCGCCGTGCGCTCAACCTCGGTGTCAATGTCAAGATGATTACTGGTACGCGCATTTCCAACGCCGTGCATATCATCTCGTTTTCTCGTTATGCAGGCGATCAGTTGGCGATTGGTATTGAAACCGGTCGTCGATTGGGCATGGGGACCAATATGCATCCCTCTAAAACGCTGCTAGGAGAAAATAAGGGGGAGCTTGGCCCGGAAATGGATGAACTGATTGAAAACGCTGATGGATTTGCTGGGGTCTATCCAGGTAACTGAGAGTTTTTGCATTTTATCTCTGACTCACGGTTTTCCAGAGCACAAGTACATCATCGTAAAGCGACTGCAAGAGAAAAGGCACATTGTCGGGATGACGGGGGATGGAGTTAACGATGCTCCCGCTCTGAAAAAAGCCGATATCGGCATTGCTGTTGCAGATTCCACAGACGCAGCAAGGAGTGCAGCAGACATTGTTTTGACAGAACCGGGTCTTAGTGTGATCATCAGCGCTGTGTTGACAAGTCGAGCAATATTCCAAAGGATGAAAAACTATACGGTATGAATCTGTTGTGGTTCCCGATTACGCTTCTAACTGTTCAAGTACTCTGTAGATCTATGCCGTGTCGATCACTATCCGTATAGTGGTAAGTCATTCATGTTTGTATGCTAGCAAGTTCGTGAAATCTGAAGGTTCTCTTTCTTGTAGCTGGGATTCGCGCTGCTTTCGATAATCTGGAAGTTCAACTTCTCACCTTTCATGGTTTTGATCATTGCCATTCTAAACGATGGTAAAAACTCAGTGGCATTGTTATTCGCATTACTTATCCTCAACGTGCAGGCACTATCATGACTATATCCAAAGATCGTGTCAAGCCATCTCCTTCCCCAGATAGTTGGAAGCTCAAGGAAATTTTTGCAACCGGGATCACACTGGGCACATATTTGGCATTGATAACAGTTTTGTTCTTCTACCTCGTTCAGGAAACTAATTTTTTCCAAGTAATGCATCCGTTTCCGTTTGTAGAAAAGTGCCAACTGATCGCTCGCTTTTGTTTCAGCGCGTCTTTGGCGTCTCAGATATCTCGGGCAAGCCCAGGGAGCTGAACTCGGCAGTTTACCTTCAAGTTAGCATTGTCAGCCAGGCGCTTATTTTTGTTACTCGCTCTCGGAGCTGGTCATACGTAGAGAGGCCCGGTTTCTTGCTCTTAGCGGCTTTCGCCGCCGCTCAACTGGTAAATTGTTTCTCGAGTTCTGTTTATTCCCGTGCTGATATGCAATCGCAGGTTGCTACCATCATCTCTGCTCATTTACAGCTCGGTTTCGCTAAAATCCACCCGATTGGCTGGAAATGGTGCGGGGTGATATGGCTATTCAGCATTGTCTTCTATATTCCACTCGATATTATCAAGTTTGCCATCCGCTACTTTCTCTTCGGTCACGTATGGGACTTGGTCCTGGAGCGCAAGGTACGTGTGAAATTGAGCTGCAATTCTTTTGCTTACCAAAGAGCCATTCCAGATTGCGTTTACGAGGCAGAAAGACTTCGGCAAAGAGGCGCGAGAGCTACAATGGGCGCAAACGCAGCGAACACGTCATGGCCTACAGAAGACGCCGGAGAGAGGAGGAAGCTTCATGGATAAAATGGGATACCGGGAGCTATCGGATATCGCGGAGCAAGCCAAGAAACGCGCGGAGATGGCCAGGTTTGATATACGGTTTTCACGTCAACTTTCGCTAACCATGGTTTCCTTTCCTTGCAGGCTCAAGGAAGCTCACACGCTCAAAGCTCATATCGAGTCTGTGATCAAGCTCAAAGGTCTAGATCTCGACGGCGTCAACCCGCACTACACGATCTAAAAGAGATTTTTTGTGTAAGCTTTCCTCCATTTAATAATTCTTTGCGAGTCACGTCTTGCCAAGCACAGAAACACCATGTGAAGGCACAGTGACATAAGAGACGTGATCGACTTCGATCCAAAGTCCTCTCGGGCTATAAGTCGTGCCTAAGATAGACCCAGCCAAACATGAATTCTCTCCTCTTCTCGCTCTCGACCATCGTCGCCGTGCTAGTCGCGCCAGCACTGGCTCAAAGCGGCCAAGCAACATTCTACAGCCCATACGTTCGTAAGTGAATCTCCATTTCTTCTTCCAGAAAGTGTTCTCACAAGCCACTGCAGCCTCGTCCTGCTATGGCTTCGACACGAGCAAGTTCCCGCCGGGAAATCTCATTGCTGCAGCAAGCAAGGACCTGTTTAGAAACAAAGCGCTGTGCGGGGCTTACTTCGAGATAACTTGCAAAGGCGCTGTGTCCGGCTCCGGAGGCTGTTCGAGAACTCCCACTGTCAAGGTGAGAGTCGTCGACCTGTGCCCCGGATGTCACGCAAACTCGTTTGATCTCTCCATCGAGGCATTCTCTCGCATCGCTAAGCTCGACGTTGGCCGGATCAAGATAACGTCCCGCAGGTTTGCGCGTTTTGAGCGTTTTTGCACCTGCTCTTAACTTGGATCACTGCCGCAGGGTGTCCGGTGTTGGCGAAGAAGAAGAAGGCGATGAGATTGAGATGGTCGTTGGTCGAGCGATGGAGCCGTGATCACCAACTTTAAAAGTACTTTGCCATCTGGATTTCTTTCTTGGAGTACCCGCACTTTTCATAAAACGCAGCGTTCTCGGGCTTACAATCGAGAATCACCTGCGCATATATATGCATTCCCAGTTGATAAAAGCTCTAAGAAGATTGCAAGGTACCTTGTAACACCCAGCATCCTCTGCGAAACTGGTGAGAGCTTCGATCACTCTGCGCTGTGATTGTTGAGCAAAGATTGATAGAGCAAAATATAAGTACCTCTGGCCTAAGTGACACCCTCTCATACGTTCATCCACGACAACATCTTCTAGATGTCCCACCTGATAGAAATGAAAAGCATTTACAAGAGAAAGAAGAAGAGAAAGATCACCTTTCCACAGCTCCGAGCAAACTTGTGCTCGATAAAAATGCTACCGGTGGCCACAACCCGGCCGGATTTCACATCTACACAACAAAAAAATCGAAAGCGGAGAAGCTGCAAAGTTTCCAGAGAGTATTTTTACCTTCGATCACAACAATCCTATGATAGTCTCCAAGCTTTTCCAGCTGCTGCATCTTCGCTAGAATCAAAACAAAGCGTTTAGACCGAAATTCTTCTCTATCATACCATCAAACATTCCCCTCGAGACATCTCCAACCACGGTCAGCTGCTGCATTAGCTGGAGGAATCCTATCGCAGCACCAGATCGGCAGATTCAAGCGCTTTTAAAATCGCAAAAATCCCCAAACCTTTGTCAAAGTCACCTCGCTCCAATCGCCTCAGCTCCAGGCCCTCCATTGTCTGCACAAACCCTGAAATCCACGTCACCTAGCCCCGCTGTACCTCTATGGCTGACGTGCGCGCACAGTCAGCAAACTGCCACGTCACTTAGCCCCGCTGACGTAGTCGGTGTTTTATTAGGGCTGACGTGGTCGCACTATCACCAAAGCGCCACTTCATCTCCCGCGCTACAGTCAAAAATCTTTTTAAAGGCGATAAAGCTTTCTCTCCCCCTTTCTTCCCCACTGACACTGGCAAATTGATTGACTTGGGGAGCGATCAGTGAATCCACCACATGGAGTGGCAGGAAACAATGCAAGAGGATCCACCATCGATGGATGGCTCCAAATCGCGCCATTTCCTCCCAATTGGTTGGAGATTGGGGCAGCGGGGGTCGGGGGCGATTTCCCTGTCGCGTTGAAAAGAGGCACCATCACCGACCATGGCACACATTTTCATGCCCTAATCTCACAATCCCTACCCTAAGGCCATCCCATCGCCAGATTTGCGAATTTTACACAGCCCAAGTGCTATGCCATTTCTTTCAATCAGTTTCATGAGACCCACCCCAGGGGAAGAAACCAAGATCATAGATCGAGAATCGATATCAATCCTTTTAATTCGTAAAGCCACATACCGACCAAAAGCATGGCCAAATTTTTCTTTAGGCTTTCCTTTTCCTTGGGCAGGGGATGGCGATGGTCATTTGGGGCACGTGTTCCTTATTACCACATCAATCGATCGACGTCCGGGAATAACACGCGTGGCCCCGATCGGACTGTCGAGATTGCTGCGGTCCTCGCCGCATTCGAACCCCCGGTCGCCTTTTTTCTTGAAAGCGAATCTTTTTTGACACCTTTCTATCATGGCGACCATACGGCGTATATATACGCGCTCTTCGATGGGGTAGGGAGCGTTCAAACCTCCCACCGGGCAGTCAACCAGCCTTCTGTCGCGCCGTCGTTTTCGTTCGTTCGTTCCCGACCAAGCTCTTGGCTATGGCCGCTTGCTGGGCACCGACATCGTCCTCTCCATCGTCCTGGGGGTGGGACAATAGCAGCACCAGCCTCTTGATGAGCGATGGGATCGTCGCGGCCACGGCGGTGGCGGCGGTGAATTCGTCCAGGCAGCAGCAGCAGCAGGAGCAGCAGCACAATGCGGGCAATTCGATGGTCGTGCCGCCCACCTCGAGCTCGCCCAGCGCTATGGGTCTCAAGCTGGGCAAGAGGATCTACTTCGAGGACTCGCCAAATGGAGCTCCGACCGCGAGTGCTCCGCAAGAAACCAGTGCTGCTACTGCGATCGTCGCGAGCCCGCCGACGAGGAAGAAGCAGCGGGGCGTAGCGCAGCCGGCGGCGACGCCCAGATGCCAGGTCGATGGCTGCGGCGCGGATTTGAGCGGATCCAAGGGCTACCACCGGCGGCACCGCGTTTGCGAGCTCCACTCCAAGGCGCCCAAGAGCATCGTCAAGGGGCAGGAGCAGCGATTCTGCCAGCAATGTAGTAGGTCTGTGAGTGCCTCGATCTGGGCGTGTTGGGTCTGTGTGGATTCGCAGCTCGGATCGAAGGATTGCGCGCCTCTCCCTCTCGCTGATCAATCTTTGTGAATCCCCTGTTCGTAGGTTCCATGGATTGGGGTATTTCGACGAGGGAAAGAGGAGCTGCCGGCGGCGCTTGGCGGGTCACAACCAGCGGCGGAGGAAGCCCCCTCCGCCCGATCCATTCGTGATCCCTTCCTCGATCTTGGGATTCTCCTCCTCCGGTGAGTGATTGTTTCTTTTCTTCTTGGCACTCATCTCGATGAGAGAATTGGCTGGCAGGGAATTTCATGAATCCTCCACAGCATTTGCTCGATGGGAGCTTCATCGTGAGCAAGAACAACTGGCCCTCGTCTTCCTCTTGCCGATACGATCAGCTCGCGGCCTACAATCACTCCAATTTCTTGCTCAAATCCAAGCAGGACATGATCGCCAGCCACGGCGTGTACCAGTTCCTCAAATGCCACGCAGCGGCCTCATCGCCATCGCCGCCATCCTCCTCCCAATCTCCATCCCCGGTCGCGAAATCATCCATCGTGATGGCGTCGCCGCTGGAGCCCGGGGCGATCAATCATCCCACCACAAGCGATGCTCTCTCTCTTCTGTCAGCCTCCGAGCAGTGGGGGTCTTGCTCCTCGTCGTCGCCGTCGCCGCCGGTCGCGAGCTCGATGATCGCTCACAACAAGCCCATGAAAGTGGATGAATCGTCGTTCCAGCTACAGCTCTATCACAGCGATCCGGATCATCAGCGCCACTACCAGCAGCAAAGGTTCGTGGGCGGGATCAGCGATCTCTTCCAGTTCCAAAAGCCCACGGCGCTACTGCAGGAATCTCATCAAGCTTTTGATGCCTGAGAAAAAAAACAGAGTGGATCACTGTGGGATCAATCACTGGTTCGTGTCCGCCGTACTAGCGTACGGGGGAGAGACAATTCGCGTGCCATGTTTTTCTCTTTCTTTTTCTGATTGAATGGTGTTGCTGTATGCTATTGATCTTGTTGATTTGGTTTGTTTCATGTCCTTGTAATTTCTTGGATGGTTTTGTTGCTAATCTGGGTGGGCGGGAAAGCTTGCATTGCCTACTGGGTCTGTGGATGTCTGAAATATTTTATACAAGAAACGCCTTTGATAACTCACAGTGGACCGATCTGATTCGTTTGGAGGTCTGTGGGTCCTCTAGACTCTTGTTCGAGAATAATAAATCCATGAATCTCACCAACCTGTGGGGTATGTATGACACACTTCTGACGTGAATATTTAAAAAGTATACTCTAGGACATTTTATTGGATTAGAAATTAAACAGTAATTAGGTTTAGACCTTGCTAATATATTTTGCATTGAAGTTTTAAGCTTGCTAGTTTTATCTATTTGTGTTATTATCAAGTTAACTAGTAAAATCTGAACTAATAATAAAAGGACACCTATGCCAAGTTGTGAAACTTACTTGAATGATGACATTTAAAAATTAAAGAATATTTTAATATATTTTACATATCCAAAAAACTTATTTATACTTTTAAAGGTTTTCAAAAGAAATGCTCTTATTGCAATATCAGTTTAGCCTTAATCAATAAATTAAATAATATTATTTATATGGGTTGTAATATAAAGTTCATTGTGAATAATATATATATTGACAAGCTCATTTATTTTCTGAATAACTACTATTGTATATTTATTATGACACTTAGCAATTATTTATATCTAAATAGAATAAATATATGCTTACATTGTAACTTATTATTTAGTACTAAATGTCAAACTAGAGAATTATTTAGCACTTTGGAAATATATAGTAGTTAAATTCTAAAAAAATAAAAAAATAAAAAATAAAGTTAATTTTTTTAAAAAAATTTCACATATTATTAGGAAATTATATAAATTAAAGAGTTCATAATATTTATATATGTTATTTCCAAAGGATTAGAATGAGTGTATTCTAAACCAAAATAAAAATTTATATTTCCTGTAGGAAAAAAAATTATAATAAAATTTAAATAATTTTTTAATAAAATATATTATTCTGTCTAACTTGCATTGTGAGTGTATAGAATATGTATAAGTGTATAGAATATGAAAAGAGAATACAAAAATGTGCATATCAATTAGCCCAAAAACCCTAGCTTATATACAAAAGCGAGTGGTCCGAATTGAAACTAATTCGACAACTACCAAAATCCCACTATGCTAATATTAATATATGGCATCATAGCTATACATTTAGACCTCACATAATCCCCACCTCTTAGAATGATGGAAGACCGCTAAAGTTCTCTCATGGATAGGCTAGAATCTAAAGGAACATTAGGAGGAGGGATTGGTGGATCTATAGATGGAATTAACTGTTCTTGATCCCTTTGTATAAAGCATTTCAACTGTTGCACATATATAATTTCTGGAGGATTGGCTTGCTAGATATCATGCCAAACTTCATAAAATTGCAGTCCAACTTGCTGTAACACTTCTTTTCACTGAGCACAGAGCCCCTTAGATAAACCATATACCGCAAAATTGGGAACAAACTAATATCAAGTCATCCACTTTGTACTCCAAAGGTGAACAATGATGGGAGCTGTAGCATTGTTGTTATCCCACTTATATATGATCCAAGTGTTCAGCAAACTCTGCTCAAATAAGTGGAAGAATGCTCATCAAATATTGATCATACGATTTAACATTAGCAGTTTGTGGCAATTGCAAAGGTAAACTCAATTCCGTTTGTAGTATTGGATTATGACCATATAGAAGTTTATATGGTGAATCACTAATACAACTCTGCACCCTTATGACATATGCATACCAAAGAGATAGCAAATAACAATCGTAATCCGAATGCTGAAAGTTTATGTACTTCGTGATTATCCTTTTGAAGGTCAGAATGAGTCGTTCCACCAAACTGTCTAATTGTGGATGATAAACACTTGTAAAAGTGTGGTGTATCCCTAATTGAGATGTCAAAACGTGAAATGCTTCAGCCATAAATGCGAGACCATTATCTAAAAGAATATGCTCCAAACATATTTAGCATTTTATTGAGTTCATCAAATTTATTCTATGTTATATTTAAATATGTGAGGCCCAAATGTACAGCTATAATGCCGTATACTAATATGAGCATAGTGGGATTTTGGTAGCTATCAAATTTGTTTCGATCTGGTTTTTGGGCTAATTGATATACACATTTCCGTATTCCATTTCTATATTCTACATATTCACGTTGGTGGATGTGAGGGGTAGCTTTGATTGTCCCTGAGGAGTGCTTGGATTTGGGATTCTACTTTAGATTTAGCTTTTGCATTGTCTAGATCTCCTTTTTCTTATAGTTTTTTCAATTTCTTCTTTTTTTTTTTTTTTTTTTTTCATTCATTTTCATGGCAGAGCAACAGCTTCCTCCTCCTTTGACTCTAAAGCATCAATTGATGCAATTGTTCAATGCTATATAGTTGCAATTGAATAATCAAACTTAGTTGATAGTAGCATTCACAACGTGTGTTACAATTCCTCCTGCTCTTGTTGTCAATCCTCAAAGCTGGCCAAAGTTATTCTGTGGGAATCTTAGGGATGATGTATACTATTGGTTTGATCACTTCATAATGATTGCCACGTATCAATTTTGGTATGATGCTCGGCATTTGTTTGAATTTTCCACATGTCTCCAAGGGACAGCGATGCAATGATATAATGGTTTAAGCACAACCACTCATGAGGATTGGAGTCTTCTTTTGAACATCTTTAAATGCACATTTAAACATACTGACAATTGTGATGGGAATGAACACTAAATTATATCACAGACTCAAATGGCCTTTGACAAAGATGATGCAATTGTTGGAAGGCATCATCACGAAGCCTCTTGCTTCATGTGGAACTTAATATGTCAGAGCAGATTAAATTAGGAATATTGTGGCTAACACTTTGTCAAGATTTTGTAGGAATTGTGTATGTATTTCCTCCAACAACCCTTGATGATGCTCTTCACTAAGCACAATGTTATAAGATGTCACCTCTTTCACTTCTTGTTGCATATCTTTTAACTTTATTTCCTGTGGGAGATAGTCCTCTTTTAATAGAGGTTGATGCTGTGTTGCCCAAGTTCAAGGACAAAGGTGAGGATGTAATTATGGCCATGATGTCTATTGCTGGTATATGATGAAGTCAGTCACACTTATGGGCATTATCGGCATTTTCCAAATTAGTAACCTCCATTTTCTGGGTGGAGACATTAGCATCAACAATGTCCTATTTGTGTTGCTGCAGTGAAAGATTTGAACACAGAGATACTTTCGGGAAACAAAATGTCACACGAGCAATGAAGGGTCTTTATGTGAATAAATTAGTAACCCTTCCATCTTTTTTTTGGGAGTCTCATTAAGGGGTTCACTTAGCACTAATTCATCTAGTGTTTACTTTCCAAACTTGTTTTTATAAAAAGAAGTCTTCTATTATTCTCTCTATGTTGGTTGATACAGGTTTGAGTTTATCTTGTATTACTCGGCCTATTGCCACATATTGCCATTTACATTTCTGTCATGTGGTAGAAACAATTTTCATTTGTATAGCAATAGCCATACACACGGATGTGCACAAGATGAGGCTGACCTAGTTGTGAGTGTGAGTGATCTCAAGCTTGAATTGTAAACATTGTGGGTGGTGTCAAGTCAAGGTTTTGACCTCATTCTTAGTATAGATTAATTGCAATGCAATCATGCCAAGTATGATTTTGAGGCTTCTCCCTTTTATTTCATACTTCTTTATATTTTTTTCCATTCCTCTCACTTTTATTCCTTTTCATCCTTTTGTTTCTATCACTTTTGTCTCCTTATTACTTCCTCTTATATTTTTATTTTATTCCTCTATTCCCTCTTCCAATCCTTCGAATAGTTTTTGTGTTGTAGCAGTTGACTGGCTCATGAAGCAATATACTAATCTTTTTTGAATTTGAGTTATTGTTTGGGGCCAAGATTACAACACATCATTTTATTCCAACTAGGGATGCTCGTCTAATCAAGGTTTTTATTTGTCGTCAATTACCAAAAGAGATCAAGAATTTACATACAAACGTCAAAGAGATATTAGAAAATGGTGTTCTTTAAAAGTTATAGAGTCTTTGGGTATGTGAACCTCATTTTGTAATAAAGTTTGATGGGATTTTACATTGATTATCATCTGTTAAATAAAGTGATGATCTTGGATACGTACCCTCTTCCTCACACTACTGATATCTTGGATTGTCTGGGGAGAAGTTGTTAGTTCACCAAATTAAAGTTTGCTTTTTGGTACTAGCAAATGATAATAGCCAAGGAAGATATTCCTAAAACTATTTTTTTTTATATTTTTTGGTTTATACAAGTTATTGGTGATGCTGTTTGGTTTGAACAATGCTCCAGCAACTTTCTAGCGAATGATGGTTCTTTGCGACGTGGCGAAAGTGATTGCTGATTTTATTGATGATGTCTTGATCCACTTAGAAGGGATATGGGAAGAACACATTCGTGATGTTTGTAAAGTATTAGATTAAAGTTGAAGCAGTTGAAGTGCATGTTTGGGTCAAAGAGTGAGGGTTTACAAGTTGATTCTGACAAATTTATAGCTATTCTAAAGTTATTTACTCCGAAGTCTGTGAATGATGTGTAGTGCTTCCTAGGCAAGATACAATATCTTGGTCATTTTGTTGATCATCTTTTTGATCGTACTGCATTGTTGCAAGTGTTGCTGCAATTGTGAATGTTATCTTTCATCTGGTCTATGGACTATGAGCAAGTGTTTATAGATTTCAAAGAGCTATTGACAACTCCTCTAGTTTTGGCATATTCTAACTACCAACCTTTCATTTTACATATAGATGCTTTTAATATTAGTCTTAGAGCTGTGTTGATGCAAAAAAGCCCAAATGTGTCTAGTCAACACTATCCTATTGTATATTAGCCATACTTTACAACTAGTGGAGGTGAACTATTCCACAACAAATGAGTGTTTAGCAACAGTTTGGGGTTTCAAAAAACTTCATGCATATTTACATAGTTCTTGAACATTACTAAAAGGTGATCATGCTATAATTACTTCATTATTGAAACAGAAGAATTTAGTTAATTGTACTACTCTGTAGGTTTTGAAGTTTTAGATATATGATT